TAAGTTTCTGGCAGAATAGTATATTTCAGCCTCTAATTGCACCTGCAAACAAATCTACTGCCAGTGCATGGTATTGATATAGGTATGCCAGGTAATTGGGACTTCAGGTGTTTAACCTAAATGCACATTCACCATGCATGTGACTAACATGTAGCTTGAAGATTTGCTCCTTCAGGTGTATTTCTTAGCGAGCATGAAATATTTGGCTTTGCCCCTGACTTTTCTTGTCCAAATATTTCGCCAGCGTTGTGCTTGGGGTAGTTCACATTCCTGGAGTATTTCGATTTCTGCATTTGGGAGCAATTACGCTCAGTGCCGCTCTTACTTGGAGAGGGAATCGATTCGGCGTGTTTTGCAGGTCAGGTTGTAAGTGGTCATTCCAGTTTGCTTGGCTCGGACTCTTTTATTTCCGTCCGCCTAAGTGCATTTTACGGAGTTTGGACTTTATTTTCCTCTCCAGAGTGAAATAACGTTGACCAATTGCCAGCAATTGACCTCAGCAAGAATAATTAGGCCTTGACTCTTGAAATTTCACAAATTGGAAAGCCATATTGAAAATATTGTGATTTAAAAACAGTGAAACATGAGAAAAGCAGAAAGAAATTTGAAAAATGTGATTTTTTTTTCCCCTTCTTGTTTTGTTTTCCTTTTTTCCTGAATTTGTTTTGAATGGGCCTCTTTAGGGCCACCATATTATAACTGACGGCATTATATGAAAAAAAATACTGCCATAAAAAAATCCAAACTGAGGTTCTGTTACTGTACTGTCGGTAATGTCTGTATTTCAAGACAGCCACTACAATCACGCAGTTAAATAGCCAGCATTGAGGTCATGGCCACGAAAACAGAAATTGAGGTCTTCCAAACAAAACTGTTGCCAGCACTGCTGTTTACAAATAATATCACATAGGCTGACAAAATAGCAGCGTCTAGATGTTTTCCGCTTGCACCGGCCCCAATATATCCACACTGAATGCAATATGATTGTATCGGCACCAGACTAATGACGACCCAGAGCAGCCTATTGGCTGTTATTTGCCGTACACCAAGATGCCACAAATCAAATTAGGAGATTGGAATTGTCGAAATAGACCGTGTTGCTCCCTCCCCAGCCACATTTCAATCTCCTTCCGAAATGGACGCTTAATTTTCTCCATTCGGTGCGACCAAAAACAAAAAGAAGAAAGAAATCCACGGCTTGGCCGGAGCGAGGCAGAATTTAACGGAACCTCCGGTCATTTTTTGTGACGGCAAGTCATCCTGGACTTGCGGATTGAGTCCTCTGGCTTATTAGGGAAGCTTGTGATGTGGATAAATTTTGACAAGCGTTCCTCAAGCTACAAGTTGTTTTGCTCAGGTTGAGGCCTCTCCCGTTTCAGTCCCTCGTGGATCGGAGGCCGTTAAAACAGCAGTAATACTTTCAAGTGTTATATTTGGCACGTTTGGCTCTTCCTCGGTCCATTGCGCAGCACTGGCAATTTAGCTAGGCGTGGGCAACTTGTGGAGAAAATTTGACAAACTGAAAATTGATGGCAACAAAATTTTACCTTCTCAAAACTGTCTGGAGTGTTTTTTTTAAATTGATAAAAATGATTACATGAATTTATGTGTGAAGGCCCTGTCGAAGAAATTTTTTTTGGAAAGATTTTTTTTTCCATTGTAAAAATGAAATGTGGTCGCTAGACTTTAGATTACCTAGTAAACTTATGTTAGCCCATAGTTTTTCTATCTATGATCCCGACATGCCTCGCTCCTTGTCCTATTCTGTTTATGAAACCGTGTCTTTTATCTCTGTATGACATCCATTTTTTTTCCTTTCTGATTTTAATGTTTTCCTGGACTGTCGTTTGTCTATTTGTCTAGGTAAATGTCTGTCACCAGCAGCAATCTTTATCTCTGTCTGTATTCTGTTTATTTGTCCATCAATGTGTCTCTCCGATTCCCAACTGTCAGTCAGGATTTTTTTCTGTTAACATCAGCTTCAGACTTCAGCGGAATCCCTCCACAACAGCAATCATTTGCTTGTTGTGTAAAATGTCCTGACGTTAATGTTTTATTTGTATTTCAGTAAAGAAAATAAATGCTGAATCAAATGGAAAAATTAATTTCTTGTATGTCAAGTGGCACGGACGTAGTGACCAATAAGAGATCGGCAGTTGCTTAATAATATTCAACAGCACGCAGATAGAACTAATGGCCGCTTTGATTGATCGTCGCTCATGCACAATACTCAGCCTTTTTAATTCCAGTGTTCAAGCCTGACGTTATACAACGAGTGCTCTCAGTTTAATTGCCTGGATTAATTATTAAACTGATCAATTGTGCATTTTGCTTGTGTTTTGACTCTCTGAGGTACAAAAATCAATTCCCTTCTTATGCCTCTGGTCTCAATTCGGGGGATTTTATTTGCTCAAATTAAAAGCATCTATTCAAAGTACATAAATAAGCCCTAGATAATGTCTGTAGATGCATGTTATTTTAATTGTCTACTGAATTCTGCTTAAGTAGAATGTACAGACCCAGTCAAAACTCACTGCTTTTGAGTCAAGTTTTTGTTTATTGAATGAATTGAAAATTAAAAAGCAGTTATTTTCTTCTGTCAATGTTGTACAATGTACACATTAATTAAAGACACTTACAATAAAAATTGCACCTATGTTGTCCTATTTCCTGTAAACGATTTTTTGTTTCCATTTGTGTACATGTATGGTAAAGAAGTATTCCATCTTTTGAACTAAATACTCTTTTCCCAAACAAACTTGCTGAAAAAAACCCTTATAGTCTTGTACATTTCCACAGCCCCCGCATCCTGACTATTTCTTCCTTTTGTGATTTGTCTCGGTATTAATGCAGGCACTGGACTGTATACAGGAACTTTGTTGAGGTCATTTATTCGTTCTTTTCTGCCAGCTCTTCTGTTGGACTGTTTGATTTTCCAATTACCGTCCCCAAAACCTGATCTGCATTTTCCAAGCAAAAGGTTAAACGACCACCAGGAAACCATCAATAGCTGGGTGCGGAAACTCGGAAACATTGGAGGAAGGAACGTTATTTGTATTGCCTCCTTAATTGACTTCCCGTTATTATCCAACCCCCTGGCAATGGAACAGCACTAATGGGGAATGAAATACCCAAACAGGCAAAATAACATGGAGTTCTGTTTAGAGAGGCTGCCTCCTTTAAGAGACTTTGGTTTTAGTGCTGTGCCATTAATTTCACGTGGGGAATGTGCAAACAAGATTGTTGTTTGCGGACTTGTGGGTCACTTGATGACTATTTTAGGGAAAAAAGTATGGGCATATGTGCCCTTGTATCTTTGTCTTTACAAACAAGTATTGGATGAAGAATGACTGGTTTATTTGATTGACACTTTGTTTGGTGTGCTGGTTGGTTGTGTGATCAGTTTAATAATTAATGATCGATTGAGAACTTGAATAATAAGATATTGATTAAGCATTGGTTTAATCAATTTATCTATTGTTTGACTGATCATTTAATGAGTAAATGTGTACTCTCCTACAGAACTCTAATTAGAGTTTAGAGTGTTGAAAACAAGATAGTTAATCTTTAAGAGCAAAGACCTGTTGGTCATCTGGTGCAGGCTTTCCTTTCTGGGAATGACAAGTGAAGACCAAGTAAAGCAATACGGGAGACGGATCTGAGTTCCGCCTCTCTGTGATAGGCACGACCCTCCCGGTCCCCTGTTTTGAAATTAATGAGCCTACCACAGACAGTGAATCTGGGTTACCGGCCATACCGCCCACCGAGTCGCACCGCATGCATCCATCATTTTTAGCAAGTGTTTTTGGTTTTTTGTTTTGGTGTACTTTGAAACAAAAACCTGGGAATTCACTTTGTTGTGTGCCCTGCCTGCATTTTTAAGGACTCTGCTTTCATATGTTCTCTTCATATTACATGCGTGGGGTTATTTTGAGTTGTGTGAACAAGTGAACAAGACTGTTTGTGGTTTTTGTAAATGGTAGGCAACATTCCGTACATATTTACACGTAATGAAAGTTGTGCTAAAAAGAAGATAAAAATAATGTTGTTTCTCACACACTTCATTCATGTGTTGACATTTTTTTCTTGTTGTGTAAGCATGTGGATATCTTGTGCATGTTCGAATTACAAAACACATAAATATGCACATATCAATAGGATATATTATATAATATTTGAAATTGTTTTAGACTAATATTTTGCAAACAAACTTACTAATGGAAGACATTTTGGAGGTAGAACCACGTTTGCGCACATGCCGCATGCGTTATTAACATGGGCGTCAATCGGTGAGGGACGGGGTTACAAGTCCCTCCCACTTTTTAAAGTGGGGGATATCATATCGTTTGTTTCCCCCCCCCCCCAACTTTTTTTCGTCCCCGAATAAAAATGTAGCCAACATACATTTGTAATGATTCTACATGTTAGCTCAAAACAGCTGATTCAATGACTCCAAACTCGAAAATAGTGTTTAAAAGATGACTTTTTGCTTACAAAAATTGGTTTAAGTCGTCAGAAATTGCCTCAGATCGCACGCCGTTAGGGCTTCGCGCTTGCATTAGTGCTGATCAATGTATGTCCCCCCCCCCCCCCCCCCCCCACTTTTGAGAAGTGATTGAGACCCTTGGTTATTAAAAACGAGGCGTGCGCACATTTTGGTACAATGTGTAACTCTATTGGTCGAAGGAGCCCATGTATGTGGAACTACCTGAGCGTGACTCGCGTGAGCCCATTTTCGCCTCAGAATATGGCTGTCGACGATTTAGTCTTCATGTATCAGATTCTAATTGGCTAACTGACCTTGGTAAGTGTGGTGGTCAAGAAGTAAGACATCTGCATCAGTAAACAGGAGGTCTCTGGTTCGAGTCTCACCCAAGGGAGCTTGTGAATTTTTTTCTCGCAAGCCCTTGGAGGGCACTGAGTTTACAGTAATGAAGAAGTTCGCATTGGTGCAAGGCAAAACCCAGTAATGAATTTGTTTTTATCTTTTTTGCTTCTTTTCAGACGCAGCTGGCCAAGCTAATGTCCAACCAACCACCAGCAGCACTACAGAGCCTATCAGGTACAAATCTTTATTTAAAAAAAAGAAAAATCATCTCACTTTTCCTTTCACTCAGCTGTGTACTTTTCACACACAAAAATAAAAAGAAAACGAAACAAGAACCAAAAAAAAACCCCAAAGGAATACTGTAAATCAGTATCTTTGTATTTTACACTTGTTTGGACAAAGACAAATTCCTATTTCAATATCGTACAACAGATTTTAAGGTCGATCGATCCAGTTTCAAATTTTTTTTATAAATTATTTCAATTAATCCAGATATGAACTACAACTCCACAGAAAATCAATATCCTAGTCCAAAAAACCAAAATCATTCAGAAAACTAGAATTGTTGTGGGAGAAAAACTGCAAGGATTTCCTTTCGGTAAATCTTGCATTTTAAGCAGAGTTGTTATTTCTGATCCTCTCATTGAAGTTTGTGTTAAAGGGGCATTCCATAAAGTTGGGATCCGAGTTTTTGTGTCCCTGTTACATCTGAATTGTATAAGATTTATTTATTCCAGGACACATTCTTTAACGCCTTCTATCTCCAAGAGTGATTATGCAAAGCAAAGTACCAGTACCGGACAAACAAATACAAAAACTAGTGTGCAATTTTAATAATACTTGAATGGCATTTTACACAGGTCAGGGCCCAATTTCATGGCGCTGCTTAACAGTTAGCAGAAAAGTTGTGCTGAGCATAGCAGAAAAATTTGCTAACCTTAAGCACTATTTCACGGCGTGGACGTGCTAACGGTCGCGCGTGCATGGAGATTTCTAATGTTACGTCACTGAGTTAAGCAAATTTTTCATCCAAAGTAAGCGTGCCCTTTGCTGTGCTTATGCTTACGGTCTCCATGAAATAGACGGAGGCTCTGTTAGCAGAAAATTGTGTGCTTAGCAGCGCCTTGAAATTGGCCCAAGGTAGTTACAGGGACACCAAAAGAAATGTCATACTTTTGGACCCCAATTTATGGAAACACTGTCTGTCCCTAAAAGGCATTAAAAAATGTTCTTCATAAATGTATTTGCCAACCGTTTATCTTCAGTAGTGAATATAATGTAAGATTTCAACAGTAACAATTGAGGAACTGCCTTACCGGACAGCTGTAGTTATATCTTTAAGTCCTCATAACCTCTGACAGTTTGTTTAGGCTAGTCTTGGCAAAGTTTGAACGGGAATTTGTTCAAATACATTCTGGAGCCAATTCGGAGGGGATTTGTTCAAATTTGGTCCCATGATTGTTTGAACAAGGCTTGGTGGTCCAATACGAGTGTTTGTCGACAAATACCCATGCTTGGACAAAATATATCAAATTTCCATCATCAGTGGGGAAAATATGAATCTGGGAGATAATGGTTAAGCCATGGTTAAGCTTTATTAAATTTTAACAAAAGGTCTTTTGGAGAGGTATATGTGAAGCATATAAGAAACTAATAGTCAAACAAAAAATGTTTTTTGTGTAAAATATGAACCTGTCTCTCTGCCTTAAAATCAAAAACTCACAATAACACTTGCATTTTGCATGTAAAAACAAGGTGCCAAAATAATTACCTAAATTTTTTTTGGACAAAAATACACATGACCATAATCCATCACACTGCCACATCACTCAAAGGAAATGTCTTGTTCCCTTTAATTTGATACCACATTTGACGTTGTGATGCTTACAGTTTTGTAGATTTTTCAGCCATTGCCCTTATGGCGCTCAGTCAATGGCTTTTTGATTGGCAATCTCCGAGCGCACTCCAGGCTAGAGTACAATCAAGCACCAGTTAACGAACGGTTGGTGATTGAACTTCTTATGATTAGGAATTCAAGTCATTCTCTTGTATAAGCTTTTTGCCAACTCCTGGGTTTTGTGGATCCTTTTGAATTCATGCACATGAAAGATTAAACAAATGTGGTGCTAAGATAATGTCTCAACAGACAGCTGATCAATTTTTACCACTTTTCACCAGGCCTTGAATGCAGTTTTCTGCAGCAGCTCAAGATCAGAGCATTCTGGTCTGTACAAGTATGTAGTCTGTACCCTCAGAGATACCGGTACCTTGTTATACTCCAGTATGGAGAGAGAATATTTTAGTAGATAAAGTGTCATGCCCAAGAGCACGAGGTAGAGTCATTTTTTTAGGCACATCTCAAGACTTGAGCTGCATGTGAATAAGCCAACTTAATATTCCAACTGCCGGTATGCATAACAATATCTGATGATTTTTACTCTTAGATAAACGCGACAGATAAATGCACACAATTCCAGATATTTACAATCTGCCATTTTTCGTGCAATCAAAAAGACTATGGAAATTTCCTTTGCACAAAGGTTGGGGCACACAAAACACCTAAAAACACTTCACTGTCCATACTTATTGAAAGTTTGTGCTTTTTTCAATTCGGCTGGTATCTGTTGAGATTTAACACGCATACGGCGAATTATTTATTGCAAAAGGAAAATGGTCAAATCTTGACGTGCATATGGGTGCGCAGCTGGAATACTGAACTGGCTTCTGGCTAGGCTACGGCTGGGAAGGGGCTTCAACGGCTTCCATGGCTTCCATTTGAGCATGTTGAATTGCCAGCCGTAGCCAAAGTAATTCGGACAAAGCCATAATTAGAGGAATGTGGTCTGACATGTCATCTATCATTAGCAGGAAGTAGCGGATATCATGCAGATGAATTTCAACTCTCCCAGGTCTCCATGTTAGCTCCACCTTTGCGAATTAGCATTCATCTTATCTATATCCCAGCTGTCGTGTGTTTACACTTCTCCCCTCCACTGAAGCTGTGGAATGAGTGAGATGGCTCTTTGTGTCAATAACGAGACAGGAAGACCAGTCTAATCTATCATATCTCAGGGGCCATTGATTGTCAGATCCTTATTCAAGAGTTGAGAAAAAAATGTAAGGGAGGCGTCACCTTCTTGAGAGCCACACTTTGCCTGAACTTGAGACTTGATCTTCATCTGCAAGGCAGACGGTTATCAACGTTCCAGAATTTTTAACAGTTGAACAAAGAAATTGACTGGATTGGGGTTTCAACCTGTGAGCTACAGATTGCCGTTCCGGTGCTCTACCAACTGAGCTATCCAGCCCTATGTTGGTGGTTCCCCATTTAATCAATGTCTTTGTTCAAGGGGCACTACAAAAGGCTTAAACCCGCAAATGCCATGTAGCCGGGGATCACGCTCAGAGTCATGATACAAACCTACATGTAGGAGGAAACAGCTTTTTATTACACAGTTTTAACTAAATGACAAAGGGATACTGACCGGGCACCTAGTCACTTTCCCTTTGTGGGTTATTTTAAAACATTCTGTAATTGTTAGATATATTTTTAAAATAACCTTCCTGTGTCCTCACACATTAAAAATGCCTTAAAAAAAAACAACTACCGGTACATATACACACCCAAATAAATCCTTGCATTTCAATGCCTGAACAGAATCCTTGGAGGAAAAAAACGTTCTTCTACAGTATTGTACAATAACACAGTCATGCCCTCAAACTTTGACGATATGTACATGTACATTGTATATTTTAGTTGAATCCCATCAGTAAGTAGTTTGCTTCCTAATTTTTTTTAGTTCTCATTCCTATCTTTGGGTTTTTCAGCTCATTAAAAAAAGTTACATCCAGTTAAGATACTTTTTGTTGAAACTTCATAGACACTTATCGCACAGGGCTGATTGCGGTGACATTATGACCGAATGTTTTGAAATGAGGGATTTTTTTATTCCGCTATTTCCCTGAGAAAATCATTTTCATTGTCAATTTTTCAAACCACACAAGTACCTTCTGCCTTGTCAATTAAACCTAATTGAGACGTCCAAAAAAAAAAAAAAAAAAGACGGTGTCCTTGTCACAAGAAAAGCCCCTGTGGTTTCTCTGTTTATTTTTCCTGGATAAACTTGCTGACTTTGAACTATGACAAGAGCAACAGAGATTGTAGCCAGGAATTCTGCGGGAGAAGACAACCTGTTTACACTGATGGTCCTAGCCGACAGGACAGTTCTCATCGCCTGTCGACACATGATGTTTGAACCCTCGACGAACACTTGAATTTTGACACAAAAGGATTGGTAAATGGTCTTTGTAACAAGATTGCTCCAAATTTAAAGAAAAAGTAGCCCGAAAGTCCCCTTCAGTCCAGTAGGGACAGAAGTTGGAGAAAATGGAATGATGTAAATTGCTGATGGCTTGAAATGGTACCGGTTTTTGTTTGATATACAGTGTAAGGTCAGGGATAAATTCCCAGGGCCGGTGAGCCATATTTATTTTCCAAAGCTGGCAAATTGATACTCTCGGCAATGTTCATCAGAAACTGTCAATCAAAATCTACACATGAGATTTTGGCTGGTGGCCTGTTTTTGCCATGCAAAACTTTTTCTGTCTAGAAAATTTGTGGGCTTCACAGTCCTGTAAAACTGACCAGAAAAGCTTCTTGCTTGACAGTTTTTAGGTGAATTCTCAGTCAACTGTAAAATACTTGTTTCTGCTATTAGCAAACATTTCTGTTCACCGACCTACAAAATTGACCCCTGGTTGGATTGCAGCTGACAATTTGCATGTAGACTGCACATTGCTGGATGTGCCAACACTCAGAATGCATGTCAACAAACATATACCATGGAGCTGTTCCAAGTATAACGTACCGTACTTAACCAATTATTAATACAGAGTAATCCTTTCATGCAATGTTCATCATCAAGTTCTTCTTTCAAAGAGAAAGTTTTTTGAAAACATTTGAACCTCTTGATCAAGAAACCACCAACAAATTCACATTTTGATGGGTTTGGGAAGGTGGGGGGGGGGGGGGAGATCAAGAACTGACCCAAATTTCACCTGAATATTAGGTCAGTGTGGTGGAATGCAAAGGAACCAACTTCTCACCACAGTGACCTCCTGATGGGAAATTTCTGAAATTGAAAATAATTTTTTAAACGGCCAGATTGATAGAAGCGAGGACAGATGGCTTACAATCACAATATGATTAGTGTCGAGGTCACCCAAAGTATGACAAGCAAACTGTCATGTCAACTCAACCCACGTTTACTTGTCCTCTGTCAAAAAAAGTAAAGAAAGAAATGAATACAATAATAAAGCTAACAGACCAAGCCCCATCATGAAGATAGACAAGTATGGAGCTCATAGCGTGGGTCAAGTGGAGTGCTATTTGCATACTCATTGGGGGTATTTAGCACATGTTGGAGTAGGATCGTCATAAGTGTGTCCGGAGACGAGAACGAGTGGTGGTCGTGTGGGATTCGTGTTGGTTGTAGAAGTCGCGTTAGCAGCCTAGCCAGGAGCGGGACTAATTGTTAGTGCGATCATGGCTGTCTCGCGGCGCGGACGCGCTCCGGCGCCGTCCCGAAAGAAAGTCTGCCTCTTTGTTCTTGTTCTACTTTGCAACCTGCAACGGTTAGTTACTGGCTCATTCAGCTTGGTGTTTTCAGTTGACGCATGATGATTCTTCTTTCGTAAACCGACTTGGAGCTACTGAACACTGTAAAACTCCAACATGGAATCTTAATGTTACAAGATGATCTGGTGTATTGGCTCTCAGGACAAAGGGTTTCTAAACCGATGCCATGCATGCCACACTGCATGAGAAAATTGAACACTTTTCTTCACAGGATTTTTGTGGATTCATCAAACCAATGTGCCTGCAATTCACCATCTGCTATTCTGCCACAGACTGTGTTCCAAAAATGCAGTGGTTTTTTTTTTTCAACAAAGCCTTTCGACATGAGCAAATAAGGGTCCTTTTTTCACATGATTTTTGTTTGGGATTAATAATACCAGGGTGCCTGCAATTTGCTCACAAACTGTTTTCCAAGAATGTGATATTCATCAAGAAAATTTTGTAATTTTGTATCATTTTTACAGGTTCTCATGGATGATTGGACTCCAGAAAGAGTAAACATTGAATTGTGAACAATTGTTACTAATAAGTACATGTACATATTCATGTGTTGAAATCCAACTTGAGTTCACCCTTTACATTTTTCTTGCAGATTCTCAGAAGCATTGGGAATAGTGGCAAAAATGTCAGAAATGTAACCTTAGAATCTCTTTCCCTCCCTTTCCTCAATAATGCAGGACCGCCCCGGCGGACGGCATCCCGGAAATCAAGATCGACGAGCCCATGAACAATGAGACGGTCTCCGTGGGTGACAAAGTCACGCTGCTCTGCCGCATCCGGGGGTTCCCACAGCCAACCTACTGGTGGTATCACAAAGACGCCTACATGATGGACGATGTCGGCAGAGTGACCATACGGACCTATCCGTGGGGTTCTAAACTCATGATTAAAAATGTGGATACGCTGGACGCAGGATATTATAAGTGTATTGCGCAGAACGACGCGGGATCTAAAACCACCACGGGTCTGGTTGCTATATTGCCAGGTAAGTTGGCACGGATCAAAAGTTCCGTTGTCAAGGTGATAGTTGTAAGAAGAGAAAGCTTCAGTTGGTGGTTCTTGCTAAAGTAAGAACGACAGGTATTGTCTGATATTGTGTGACATATGTAGAACAGAAGAAGTGTGCATAAATTGTTCTGGCAGCATCAACAACAGCAACAAAAAAACTGCAAGATAAAAGATGCCGACAAAATCCTTCATGCGCAAATCACTTACTGACGTAGCTGCTTACATTACAGTACGTCGAAAATCACAACAAAATACACAAGACATCCTCACACAAGCACACTAATATTCCTGCAAATTGGTTTCAGATATTTTCTTTCAGGCACATGTTTAAAATTCACAAGTAACCCATAATGAAATCATGTTGTTTTTGCAAATTATAGTTCACCCTTGAGGCAAGTTTCACGGGAATATTTGGTTGCTCGTTTACTGATCAGTGCCCATGTTTTTGTACTTCTTTCTTTGCTTATGCAATGTAAGCACAACTAGCCTTCTTCGACAGGACACTGCAATTTTCTCACTGCAAGTACAAAGAGATACTATAGGTTTCAAATCCAATGTAAAGACGGTTCTCACAGAATGTTTTCCATGAAAACACCATCGCTTGTCAAGCGAAAGCTTTTGTTTGCAAGTCAAAAGGCTTTGCAAAAGGCAATTCCCGAGCATTGTCAGTTTACGACAACAGAAAATGCAAGAATCCAATCTGAATTCCTCAGTACAACAACTTCCAATTCGATGGGCAATCAAGTGATATGTAGGCCTGTACACGATTGCCGTTCACAAAAATTGCGTTTCATCAGAAAAAGTGAACAGTGAGACGCGATAAGATGAAACTAATTAGGGAGAATTATCAACGAGGTGCAAAAATGTAATCATCCCTCCGGCTTTCATTGGATGATGATCTTGGCCGTGCAAGTTATGAAAAGATTTTGTCTGCCTATTGGCTTCATGCACAAAGTATAGAAGGCGCTGTGAACTGAAGTCAAACCGTTCAACCGTAAAACATTTGGATACTAGTCCGTGTCCACATCTCTAGAGCTTGACCCAATTTCATGGCATGGCTTACCGTTAGCGAAAAATCCCTGCTTATAGCACAAAATTCTGTGACCACGGTAAGCGTATTTCACAGGTTAGCTAGGAATGTTGGCTTCTGCGCATGCATCACGTTACTAAGGATTGTGCGCTTACAAGGTTAGCGCACAATTTTTCTGCTGGCGCTGTTAGCACAGAATCGGGATCATAAGCGCGGCATTCTGTGGTTAGCAGAGCCAAGACATTGGGCCCTGTTGTCTAGATCCTCTTCATTTACAATCTGTGGGAACATCGAAGCATAGCCATAACCAGGAAGTCTGTTTGGACATGGCATTAATGTGTACAGTACATGTACAACTGGCAGTGGATTTGGCTTAACCAGTTCACATTGGATGACGTGTATACACGCAAAGGTTTTGCAGTATTCGTAACAGATGATGGATAAACACGCAACGAGCGAGGCTGGAAATATCTGTCAGCGTCCCACTCGCAGCGAGCGAGGCCGGAAATATCAGGATGTGCTACCCGCAGATGGCGGCCTGAACCCATCTGGCATCGAGGTTCATGAAAAACAATCCCGCACCTGGGTCCAGTCAATGTCAAAATACATGTAATCTTGGTGCGAACTGGTTAAAGGTAGAGTTGACCATTTACAGCTACCCTAAAAAGTAACCTACATTGTAGCACATTATTGTCACAGAGTTTACTTGAAATAGTTTAAAGATAGTAATGACACTAAACCCCCTTGAAATTATTCCTTCTGGCATGCCGTCATTGTGAAGAAAACAGTGAAAGAATGTCATTTCCAAAGATTGTCAAGTGACACATTTTTGGAAACTTCAGTTTGTAGTTGGTTTCTTATTGGGTGAATCTGTGAATGGGAGCGCACAAGCGTTGACACGATGCACACGCGCATGCGGCTGCTATGTGCTATTATTTGGTGGTTCAGTGTGGGACATCACGCATAGCTACAATCAGCTGAATGAGAATCATGTCCCGAATGCTGATTATGTCACGAGAGGGCGCAATCAAAAAATGGCATGACATGGCAACTTTTGAACTGAAATCGAGATCCAGAATATTGCGTCTTCTCGAAATATACAGCATTCACAGAGCTAAAACTCTATCGGGTTAGTTGTTTAGCATCCATCTTTAGATTTTGAGCACTTTCCTTGCTTTACACCCAAAAAAAAGCACAAATGACTAATGGTCTATTCTACCTTTAACAACCAGTATTTCATGTGCTAGGCCTACATGTACTGTACATTTAGGCAGGTTTCTGACGTGTACATACATGTTTAAGATTTCAACGTAAAGGGTTAAATAGTAAATTCAAAATGGACCTCACAAGGCCTTACAGATCTCGTGTGCAGTTGTCATCCTTTGATATTCGGTGAGTGTTTTCCCTTAATTCACATCATAAAATATGAGGTTATTTTAACTGTTCACTGTACAGAATTTCACACATATAAACCTGAGCTTTTGCTATAAAAATAAAAAAGTCTAGCACTTTGCCCCCCCCCCCTTTTTTTTTTTAAAGCAAAATCACTCACTGACATGTAAGAGTCATTGCATTTTTGGAAAGAACCCTGTTTTGAGATTGAGGTTTCATATGTGCACTTTACGCCTGAGAAAATATTCAACAGTCTTCAGTGCGTTTAAAAGGGTTTTTTTTTTGCACTTTAAGAAAACGTTATAAAAATGGCCAAGATTAGGGTTTAAACGAAATGGCTCCCTCCTGTTTTGGCAAGAATTACTTGCTGAAGGAACATGTTCACACGCCACATATTTCTGTGCTCTCAAAACATACATATGTACAGTTTACAATAGTATTTGGATCAACCAAATTAAGGGGCCAACAAGATTATCGTCAGGCTTTTCAGAAAGGTTAATTTAAGTTTTAAGTTGTTCAAACTGAACTCTCCAAAATGAGGTTCATAAATTGGTTAACGTTGAAGGTAGTGGAATGAAGTATTGGGATTTAATTTCCTCATATCCTGTTTGTCTGCAATGTTCAAATTGATTATTGACGTCACTGTGAACATTGGGATGCAGAATTGTCAGAAACGTGTCAGTATAATGACAGTTCAGGTCGGAATTAGGATCGGCATGGACAGTTCATGGCGGCAACGTGGCGATGCCTGGAAAGGGAGTGAAACAGTCGGAACGTGATGTGACAATCTGATGAATTGTTAATGTGCGCTGCAAACTCGGGAATCTGTTCGGGGTTTTTTAAATGACGCAAATCACCGAAACGTGTGCAACATGCCAATGTAAAAATCACCCTGATCATAACATGCACATGTACCCCCACCGCCAAATAACAAGAAGTAATCAATGGTTTCATTTCCGTATTTTATTGATACGGTGGGAATTTGACGCAAACATGATTAATTATTTGTCAGCAAACGTGACAACATCTCAGTCAGTACATGTAATACAATCGCTGGTGTTGCAACAAGCAAGATCATATACTATCACTGCAGTTTTATTTTTTTTTCAAACGACAAACGAACTGGCATCTGTTTTGTTCCTTCGCGCCAGCGATCGCTCCCCTCCCTACCTCTGTGTTTATTGAGCTAACGTTCCCCGTGTTTGTAAAGAGAATTCATTTTTTTCTTTCACAGCGCCACAAAGCCATGGCACAGTCAAGTCTCTGTTGTGTGCGCTTGTCATCGTTGAAAATCTTGTGCAAATAAACGACCATGCAGGCTTTGCATACAACTGATTGATCGGAATAATAAAGAAATTCCATCATTTTTTTCTATTAAATATGCACTGTATGTGTTCTTGCATACATTGTTTAACACAGCAACTCATGTATAACATTGAAGCATTACTCAGGCGACATTTTAAAATGCTTGTTATCAATCAGATGTTAAGCATAGTACATCAAGTGCAACAATTGATTCTCAGTATAATGCATCAATATTTCAAGTCACGTACATTGAGGCTAACTTTTCATGAGTTGCTTTATAAGAAAACATTTTTGTATGGATGCATAAGTTTGCATCCAAATTTGACATTGTTTTCTTGTTATTCAACTTTCTTTAATTTTGAATATTTGTTTTTAATCCTAAATTAACCTCTCCCAAATTATGAGTATACATGTAAATACGTAGGAAAAAAAGTCGGTTGCTAAATTCCTGAATGATTGTAAAAATATTGGATGAAAAAGCTTTGAAAATATAGAGAACTTCTTTTGATTGATTAGTACAACGTACTGTACTCTGAAGGACTAGGGTTAATATCCCTGGATAAATCCAATTTTCTCTTGTCCCAATAAATTTGACATAAATTTGATCACGTACCGAAAGCCCATTTAAACTCGAGTGGAGGGCAGACTGCAATAACCAGATATTTCTAGCAATTTTTACTTATATCCTCGGGGGACGTCCAACCCTCTCCTCCATCATATTTCCTTCCGATGATCAAACTCATCCAACAGAATTTAATAATCAAATTCTTCTTGCTCCCCCTCCCCCCTTCATACTTGTACATCAACACCTGTGTCCCCATTCACAGGTGATGTCTGATGATGTGCAATATATATCACCATTTATTCCTTCCAACATTTTTTCGGGGCTGGGGAACACATTCTCAAGGGAACAATAAAAGACAAAAATCCAAAATTGTCTGGAATGGTGGACCATAAATCCCCAGGTCTTAGAGATGGATGCATTTTAAGATGGCAGCGTATGGTGTGGATTCTGGTGGGAGTTGAAGAATAATTTGATATGTTCCTTTCCTGAGAAGAAGTGATCATGTCTAGAAATGGGCCCAATCCTCAGAGCTGCTAAGGACAGAAGATTATTGCTTAGAAAAAAACTGGGTTACCAGCCAAATTTCATGTAATATGTATACACTTGTGACTGGTTCTCAGTAAGTTTGAGCAAAGCATGGAAGTTTTTGAAGCAACATTGCTGATGCTTTTATTTTTGGCTTTCGGTAGTTACACAGGCTGAAAGAGCAAATGACATAAAACTCTGTTTCACTTCATTCCATTGCATGCACCTGTTGGACCAATTTGCCATAAATTACTCCATTTTTATTACCATTTTTGGGTGTTTAATGACATTTTATTGATCTCTGTGATTTTATGTTTGCTGACATGGTTCATTAAATACTTTTGGATCAGGAGGAATCAGAGAAAACTTTTTAAGTTCATTAAGAACCTTTCTGAACATTTTAATACATTTTCATTAATTCTAATGTTTTGTTTTTTGTATTTTCTTTACAGGACCATTTAGTGAAGGAAGTGATAGGTAAGAAAAGTCACAGTTTTATGGTTATTTTTCAAGCTGATATCAGCATTCCTTATTCTTCAGTTGTTCTTCAAAACAACCATATATAATTGATTAGGTCAAAAAAGCTAATTTGAAAAGCTGAAGAGTGCCTTCCAATTTAAAATCTTCATGTACCCTTCTTTATAGTTATTTCATAATGTAGTTACGATAGTTGTTGTATTTTGGTCTACAAGAAAGATAGTTGGCCTTAAATATGGTGTTCTCATATTTTCCTCTGCACCCATAAGAAATTCTTTTCAAGATAAGAAATGGACCTATTTCCTGCATAAAGTGTGGTTTACCACCCCAGTTGACTTGAAGCCTTCTACGTCGTCGCCATGAACATCAACCTGTGATATAATGGGTTTCTTGTTTTATGCGATCCACGAGTTCCCCTTTTCTCACCCATTCTTATTTGATTTACGATCCGCTCAATTTGCAAGCTGCTTAAAGTGGTTGTAAAACAATCAGCATCGGAAATTTATAAAGCCCGCTGGCACTGCTAGCCAACAGCTTCTGAGTGTTAGCACTGGAGAAAAAAATGAAATCTATCTGGATCTTGAAAGCTGATTTTGTGGATTTTTTCTTTCAAAGTATTAAAATTCAATTTGCGACATCAGACATATTTTCATAGAGGCCACTTTTCGTTAGGGTTTGATTGTGGAAAGTTGCGTCTGATTTTCTCCATGCCTGCTGTGAAAATTGTATTCTTCATATCTTTATTCAATGACGGATCCAAGATTTTTTTGGGGGGGGGGATAAGGCATTGCATAAAATGATAAATAGCTTTAAGCATTGAATACAAATTTGCAATATTTAGCTTTTGCCTTTTCCAATCCGAATCGGAGATTTAAAATCGAGGGCACCAAAAAAAAGAGCTCACATAAAATTCAAACCTTTTTGACACTGTGCAGGATTTGTTCAAATTAGCTTGAGCAGATGGCCCCATATTACAATAACTGTCAATTTAGCGGTGGATCGTCTGCCCATAAACTGTGTAATTGCCAGACTTTTATGATTGAAATTTATGCATCTGGAGTTTTATGAAGTGATTTTCATTTTAGTTTTTAAATTGAAGGGATTCTGGAATGGTTGTATGTGATCATAAATTTGGACGGTCTTACTGTCACTGCTACAATTTTTATACCTTTGCCATCCTTTTAAGCGCCCGCTCCCACCAACAAAAAGAAGAAAAATAGTAGAGTTTCTTCTGTGATGTGTCAAAAAATCATGTGGTTCACATAAAAATATATTATGGTCCTAATTTCAGACAAATCAAAGGTTGAGAATGGAATTTGGTTCTGTGATAAGAAATTGATGCAATCTTATGAAAGATTTGTGCATGGACATAAATATGCGGTGTTGACATCTACCTCTGACTTCTATTCAAAATCATTATTTTGCACGTTTTGAATATTTAGTTCTCGGCTGTCTCGTCAAAATTCCAACCTTTTCTTTTACTCTGATTACTCTTGCACCATGAAATTCTATCCAGACTTCAGAAAAGAAAGCCAAATACACTGAACACGAGTTCATATTTTTGGTAAATTTCTAACCTAACTATTCAGTGGGGTTATGGTGTTTGTGGTACATGTATACTTTGGCCATTGGTTTTGCAAGAAGTGCTTCAGGGTTGTTGGGCACTGGTCAAAGGAGCGTGTTACCAACTACTTTGACTTTTGACCCCAGCTTGTTTCATTGTGGTTTTGTTGATCCCTAGTTTATGACTCATTCTATCAAAATCGAGATTGAGTTTCATTGGTCTCTTTTAAACACGCACTATTTCAACATCAGTTCAGAAAGTCTGATCAAGGGGATTTTTAAGAATTTACAATTTTAATGTGATCTGGCGTTCCTTTATGTTGTAACTGAACATTATAAACATTTGTTTTATAGAAATTTCTGAAAAAAATGACCCTTTTTTAACTAGAATTTTGACGTCACTGACATGTTTCTTGCCCAAGGGTGTGTGAAAAACTCCACTATACATGTATGTACATGTATGGTACACGCCACTGTCTTTAAAATAAAAGTTAAATTCACAGCCTCCTGCCAAGATATCTTAGCTGCTCAGCCACATGTACCTGAGCTGGTCCAGTTTGTCTGGTTAATTAGAATACACTTCCTGTCGGAACGAATCCTTTTTCTCTGTGCGTGGGTGTTAAGCTTCAAAATTGTGTAACTGAAGGAAAGGATTGATAGTATTGTGGATACTTCATAGTTTAGTTTACACTTACACAAAATGTAGGAGTTGTCAGTCAACAAAGTATAGATTTCACATACATTGGAAATAAGTGCATGGCGGAAAAATAACAGATGGATTGAGCACAAACAGATATCAACTTATTTACATGTACATTGTAGGAGGTTTAACAAAATTGAATTTTAACTGGTATCTCATTTTACTATTATGATATTTTCTGTTTCAGTGATTACAGTGCCAACACAGACAACGCGCGATGCGAGCCCTACCGCGGTTCAGTCTGCCGTCGTCACATCGTCAGCAGCAGTGTGTACATGCACGCCGACACCACACAGGAAGAGACCGAGCAGGAACTCCAAGCAGCCCTGACCCGTCTTGAATCCCTCCCTAGTCTGACCGAGACCTGCAGCCGCTACATCATGCCGTCGATTTGCCTCACTGCCTTCCCGCTTTGTAGCGAGACTCCGGAACTCTCGGTTCACCAGCTCTGTCGGGACGAGTGCCAGTTATTGGAGACGGATATCTGCGCGCCGCTGTACGATCACGTAGACTCACAGGTGGAGCTGGATTTGGTCGGCGTCTTGCCGGTGTGCTCGGACCTGCCGCGGCTGGGCAGTCCAGACAGTCAGATGTGCATGAGACTCGGAATGTCCAACTCCGGAGGTGAGGGAAAGTTGCTAAGAAAGTTGCTAAACATGGAAGAAGTTGCGTAGCAAAAACTGGTTACCCAGCTAAAATGTCATTGGACGCACATTGCTTGCGACAGGCTCGCAGCAGATCTGTGCTTAGCTTAGCTGAATTTACTTTAAAAAAATAATTTCTTAGCAGCTATTTGAAATTGGGCCATGGGCTCAATATGGGCTATTCCCCAATACAGTGCGCCACCAAGCAGTTGCCACGGAGAATCAATTTTTTACAGTGCATTGTGGGAGACGGTCGACAAATTTGGGACATTTATTATTGTTTGTTTGTCCGGTTGGTAGTTTCGTAAATGTATGATTCAAGTACCTTTACTTTTTTCTTTTCTTTTTATCAAGATGGTGTTTTTTTTTTGGAGGCGAGAGAATGCTATGCCTCGATCTATCAAAACTTTCCTCAAGTTGTCCTCTGACATTCGTTCACATCCCGGCAAGTTGACCATGTTTTTGTCCACCATAAACTTGAAAAATGGACTCTCCATGGCAACTTCTTGGTGGCGCACTGTATTGAGAATCGCCTGTATTTCACAGAACTTCTGAGCAGGAAGATTGCTTAGCAAAGCAAAACTACGCTGAGAACTAGCCTGAAACAGTACATCTATTGTCTGATATTGGGTAGTAGATAGTTGGCTGAGCAGATATTTTTTTGTGCTTCAGCCAATTCCTTTGGCCTGATGCGGTGGTGTTTAAATTTGTATTCAATCCAGCTTGAATACCTGGGTGATGATTGGCCCATGCAGCTGTAGCAACAGTGGCATCATAATGATGCACAGTCCCAATCTGTCATTGCATAGCTATTGTAATAAATGTATAATAAAAAATAATCATAAGATTGAAATATGCAACATCTGGAAAAATGTTCGTGTTTGGAAAAATGCTCACAGTTTTGTTGACTTATTTGGAGACTGCAAGTGTGCATGTGTTTGGTTAGGTGTCGGTGTGGTTTTCTGAGTTCACAGGTTCAACTCCCCCTTCAAGCAATTTTCTTTGTTTTACCACAAATGGATCAAAAGTTCACCCAGTCATTCCCCTTTGGGGTTTATCAGATTGTTATTTTTTGTGTTGGGAGGGGTTGGTGGTTTGGTTGAGGGGCCATGGGAAATTTGGGGGTGAAATATGGAATTTCTATATTCACATATGAAATTGATTTTATATTGCTAGATTATTGCCATAATTATCACCCTCTAATTTCATATTTACTCTTCCCTTTTTTCCCCTTCAGATGCCACGTTATCACCAATCCAAAGACCAAGGTAAGGGAAGATATGAGAATCATAAATTTGAAATTGGAAATGTAAAGCTACGGTATTTTATGCAACAATACAACGCATCTTTAAAAGTAGTTCTCTGTCAAAACTCCTATGTGCTTGTCATTGAGAGACATATTTCCTATGACTATTGATTGGTTACGGTACCCATTGATATATCAGATTTAGAACTGCAGTCAGTGCATTTCTGCTCTCCCCGCCTGATGAGCGCGTGAACCAACAGACCAAATGTGAATTCCCTCCAAGATTTACCATTGATTGGTTACTGTATTTGCTGATATAAGATTTGAACCAGCCAACTGATTCTGGCAAGCTTGGTGGTCGAGTGGTAAGATGTCTACACTAGTAAGCAAGAGGTTGTGGGTTCGAATCCATCCCAAGGCAGCTTGTGATGTTTTTCTCACAAGCCCTCGGACAACACTGAGCATACAATGAATATGAAATTATGGTGTTTAGGGCCCCCCCCCCCCAATACCAATATTAAAATTGACCATGCTTCACCATATTCAGATTGCCTCTTCATGAAACAGCCTCAGTGTCTGTTTAACCTTTGTCGTGTCTCTGTGTCTTGTTTCACAGTGGGGACTACATCAGTCTGGAGCGACCAATGAACAATGAGACGGAGCTTCACACCGGTGACCGAGCTGTCTTGCGTTGCCGTATCACCGGCGTCCCAGAACCCCGGTACACCTGGTTTAAGAACGACGTGCCGATATCAGAGCGAGGAAATCGACGAATCACTATCAGGTGGGTCTTGGATTTTGTATTTGCTGCAAGGACTTTTTTTGCTAAAAAAAAAACGTTCCTGAATCCTCCAAACCCCTGCACTGTGCAGGAATCGAGTCCATCCCAAGAATGGGCACAAGTAAAGCTCAAGTCTTTTCACAAGCCCAGCCACAAGTAACAAGGAATGAAAAAAATAGCAAAGAAATGCCTTTGTCAAATGTTTGTTTGAATATAGGTGAGATGAGATTTGAAGGTTTGCATGGTGGAAAGATACTAAGACAAGATAAGTTTGCGGTAGCACCATGTGAATAAAATCTCTTTTGTGAGTATGTGTGGTTCTGAGATTCCCTCCGGTTCTTTTCAGAACCACTTATACTCACAAAAGAGATTTATTCACATGTTGCTGCCGCAAACTTATCTTGTCTTTGAATACATGTAGCTTGTGATTTGAGTTGGGAATGGATGACTTGTTATGGACTTGTGGTGGACGCTACTACAACACTGCTTCTTTCTCATTAACCCTAACCTTTGTAAATCCTACAAAATCTTCTTTGCATATTAAGTGGACGATTGCGAAGGATTGAGGCTGCGTGGCCAAAATGAGTATTTGATTTTGGAGGATGCACTGTGACAAAGTTTTAGGCTCTACCTTGTGTTGTTTATGCTTTGTGATGCATATAATTAGGCTGGACAATACTTGAAAAATCCGCACTGCTTCTGGATATCAACACTGCCTCAACAGTGACTGGTGGAGGATTTTGTAGGATTGAGGCAGTGGTCACCCCTCCAATGAACAGATTCAAAAATTAACTGATGATTTTGGAGGATTGAGGCTGAATCCAAGTTTTACATGGAAGTAGCTAGACGATTTTGAAGGACTGAGGATGCAATCTAGCAAAAAGGCCTAGGGGTTAGGGTTAAAGGACCTTTGAAGGATCTTTTTTAATTAATTTATTTGTTTTTCCCCACAGGTCGTATGACTGGGGTTCCAAACTTTCGATCAAAAATGTGGACACTACCGACACGGGATACTACTTATGTGAGGGAGACAACAGAGCAGGCCGGCGATCAACAACTGGAATATTACTGGCAAGAAGAGGTGAGAAAATGCCATGGTTGAAATTTTAGAATCCCAAGATTCCTATAATGGAGGAGCTTACTTTTTTGTGAAAAGATTGGGTTTTTTGTGTAATATTTTGCTCACTGTTTTTCTTCTTGTTTATAGGAGATCCACCAAGAACGCTTGGCCCTGGTGTGTCTGTGTGAGTACTTATTTTATGTCATAAATGACTGGCTTTCTACAATTTAAGAATTGTTTCTAACTGTAAGGGTATTTTACAGGCTTATTTATTGCATTTTATCCCCAAAGTAACCTACCAAATTATTATTAAAATGCTTACTTGGATTAACTGGTACTAAACACCCCGTGAAATTATTCCGTCTGGCTTGCTGTCATTAGAAGAAATTAAGAAATTTAGGTGATTTCCAACTATTAAACCGTCAATTGATTGAATTTTGGAAATAAAGAGTGCTATTGATAAAATGGTGTTACGTGATCAAAATGTTGTTCATGGTTTTCACTGTTTTCTCAAACGGTGTAATATTCACTGAGGTGACATTTTGACAGGTTAGGTTTTCAATATTATCTTTAGATTTTGGAGTGGTGTTATTATTGGAAATGAACAAAATGCATGAGAAGGAAACGATCCTACATGTATATTCTTTTAACTTTAAACTAAATGACCATGTACACCAATTGCTTTTTTTTTTAGGCCGACGACAGGCTACTGCCAGCCCTACCGTGGCATGACCTGCTCCAACTTCATCGGTAACAACAGCATCTATGTGACGGACTACCAGGCACAGTGGGAAGTCGAGAAACAACTGACGAGTGCTTTCCTAGTCATCATGCACGACCTGAGCGACCAGTGCCAAGAATTCGCAATCCCTTCTCTTTGTTATTTCGCTTTCCCGTTCTGCGACGCGACGGCGTCGGAGCCTCGGGGGCGAGAGCTTTGCCGTGACGAGTGCGAGATCTTGGAGTTGGACGTGTGCCAACAGGAGTACGCCATCGCTAAGGAGTATCCAGGGGTGACATTGCCGGACTGCCAGAGGCTGCCTCGCATTGGAACTAAGGAGAGCGAGAATTGTATACGCATCGGGATACCCAGTGTCAAAGCAGTCTCAGGTATGTACGCCGAGTGCACGATTATTTAGTAACAAAACTTTCATACATTTTACAGAAACTGAAAGCAGGCAAACCATTAATAAAATGCCGACTTGAAAGCAAGAATTGTTGGAAGTAATTTAAGAACCTGTTTTTCATCTTTCCTCCAGATGTGAACTGTTACAATGGATCAGGAATCTTCTACAGGGGCAAAGTGAACCACACCAAGTCTGGTTACGAGTGCCAACCATGGGAAAAACAAGAGGTAAGAATAAAAATCGGTACGGTGTCCAACTCAATATGCAGTTGTACATGTGCAGGATTGGACGTGCTATTGAACATAGGATTTGTGTTCACGGGCAAGACACTTTACTACAATTGCTTCTCCACCCAGGAGGAGTGTAAATGAGTACCTGTTAGGCTGTGAGGGAAGTTTGTACTGATCTAGAGCTGCTCTAGATAGACAGGGGTAATAATTACAAAAATGCTTTGAGACATTGGTATATAGAGCCATCACCACATGCATTATTAAAAAGAATCATATTTCTTAAGTGTACAACTTTTTCTGAGTATATTCAAATCTAGCAAAATTCACCAAACATGCCTGTAGTGTGACCAACATTATGACGATGTAGCCAGAAAATGCATTTGGATCAACTTTGATAAAAAATATTCTGGGGTCACAAAAAAAGTCATGCATGAACAAAAAGTTATTTAGAAACTGAATCATTTCTCAGGAGGGCTGATATCCTGACAGACTTTTAGCTGCAGAAGTTTTCCTGACATTGAATTTTCGTTTTCCCCCAACCTTTAGCCTCACTCACATTACCTGCTGCCTGCGGAGTACCCAGAGCTTGCTGGGGGTCACAATTACTGCCGTAACCCTGACAACGGGCTGGACAAACCCTGGTGTTTCACTATGAACCCAGACGTCCGAGCTGAGAAGTGTGACATCCCCAACTGTGGTAAGACTTCATTGAACAGTGATCTTTGTCCTGTGAAAACGCAGTGTGTCATTGAGTAGCCTAAGAAACTTTGGGTTGAAACATAGAGCTATGTTTAAATTATTAGAGTGCTAACTCGCTGCACAAATGCAGCCTGCTGGGCTCATCCATGTTTGTGCACAAACCTATAGAAAACTCGAAATTTAGTACAGCCATTTGCATATTTGCATTTGGTTTCTATTCCAGTGCGTCATCGAAGCTGATACACCCAATACCGAAACACACAATTAGTGAATGAGCGTTCCTTTTTGCTCTACGCAAACTAACGCAAAACTAATGCGTGCGCGTAGTTGCTGCAGATGATTTTTGCAGTGACGTTTTTGAACCGTCATACAGAAAACGCTCATATGTTGTTCGCGTATGTTGTACTTACGTGTTGCATTTAGAGTACATTATCCGAAATCCATTCCTTGTGATTTTATTATGTTCCACAAACACGCACATGAATTCAAAATGTCTGCGCTCACGACGGCTTCAAATATCTCCGCCATACTAAGGCAGTACAGTGTGGTAAATTGTTTGCATTAATTTCTTTGTTCAGATGATCCTCTTCAAGAACCTGCCAATAAGCCGGAGGTCCTTTACATAGTTGTCCCTGCCATTGCCGTACTGCTCTTCATTGCCGTTATCCTGGGATGTGTCATCATGTGGTTGAGACAGCAGAGAACGCAGCGCTATGCTAGCCATAAAGGTCTGAACAATAGACCAGCTGAGATGGTTGCATTGCAGCAAAAACCGCAGGTAAGGACACTATGAAAAAAATTGCTTCATGGCAGTTTAGTGGTCTATCCATTATCAGTCCTCACAAGTCAATCACAAGTCATCCAGTCCTCAAATCTCAAGCTATTCAAATAAACTGTGCCAAAGACAGTCATTCATACCCTATTGCTTGTGATCAGACTTGAGATGGACTTGTGATTGCCTTGACAACAGAAAATGTTTCAGAGACTTTGGTAAGGCTGATACTTTAGTCATGGATAGGAGTGTGTATCGGAACTGGGTACTCGAGTACCCAAATACCTGAGTACCCGACCGCGGATGTCAGGAACTGGTTCCAGATTATGGGATCGGGTACCCATAACCAACTTTGCAAATTACTCAGTACCCTTCTCAGACAATGAAAAAGAAAGGTTTGAATGCCGTTGGTGGGGAATTTTCAAAATGAAAACCGGGCTACATGGAAAACCAAAACAGATTTCATGTTTATGTGCATTTTAAAGCGCGACAACATTTCACTGCCTCCCCTCTACAATGTTCACTGGTTTTGTTACACAAATAATAATCACTTTTAAAATCGCAAATCCTTTAGCCCGCACTGTACACACTTGTATCTTGCTGCATTGACGTGTTAGTGTTATCGTGCAAACCTTTACGAACAATCTGAACAGCAACTTCCAGGATTTGAATTTTGGGGTTGGGTTTCCTTTTTGGGTACCCAGGTACCCGTGTTTTATTTCAATAGGGTACCCGGTTTCCAGACTACCTGTAAATGTACACCTCTAGTTATAAACTCTTCTTTTCTTGCACAACAAAAACGTAGAGGGAAAAATCCTGAAGTTGGTTGTCAGTAAGCTCAGTAGAAACATGAAACTGACCCCGCAAGAACGGTGCATTGATTTATCCAATAGTTAGTTCAAGATGACACTTTTGTCCAAAACTTTTGGAGGGGGAATTTAATTGTAATTTTAATACAGCTTTACGTATATGACAAAAAGCTTTGCTTGTGTCAACACAAACGCGTAGGTGCAGATATGAAGATTCAACGCTATCCGCCTTGCATGCGCATCAGCATCAACAAAACGTTTCGATGTTGGTATACAAGATGCACTGACAGACACACCGCATCGTTTCGTGTTTAAGTTTTTGTAGAGAAACTGACAAATGTGTTTCCTTGAACATTTCATCACTTCTTTATAAACGATAAATTCACTTTTATTTTATGTTCTTGTTACATGTACTTTTATTATTTTTGCATGATATGTGGATTTGTGTATCATGCAACACAAGGTAGTGTAGTTTCATTTATACAGTAACTGAATGCATTTCACTCATGTTTTTTCTTTCTTTTTCTTTTCACATTTCACCAATAAAAGTACCATTTATCATCCCCACAGTTCAAATATTAAGCTATTTAAAATGTTTTTAAAAATTGAATTGAAATCACAGTATCAATAACAAACTTTGGACATATTTGCAATTTTTGGCTTTACATTGGATAGCAAATTTTTTTTTCTCAAAATCTCAAAGAAAATAACCTCTTTGGGTCATTAAAGTATTGCTTTTAAAATAAAAGATGAACTACATCAATGAATGAAAGGTTTGAGGAAACAACATGTGGGAATAATTTCTCAACTAGGAGAATGGTTCTGAAAAGAACCAGAGGTATAAACTCAACGTTCTGGTCAGTATGCTCTGACTGTCTTCAGAGCAAACTGACCAGAACGTCGAGTTTATACCTCTGGTTCTTTTCAGAACCATTCTCTTAGTTTGAGAAATTATTCCCACATGGTGTTTCCGCAAACCTTTCATTCATTAGTATCTCCACCATGCAAAGCCTCAAATCTTACTGAACTACATCAAATTGAGCTGTAAATTAAAATTACAAAATTGATCTATGTTTAGACCCTAATGGGTTTTCATTATTTGAATGTCATTTTTCAATTCTGTGTGCTTAATGTCATTTCCCAAGAACTTTCACAATCTAGTCATAAAACAATTTTTTTTTTTAAATAATTATTCTGTCCTGTAAACTCAATCTGTGCTTGTTAAGCTTTAAAAGAGCTGAAAATGGAGTTATAAAAATTTTGTCCAAAATTTTGTCTCGGTTAAAAGATTTTGTTTCATCTCATTCACCTCCTCACTGTCACGCTTTACTAACCCTTTTGCTTTGTGTTGCTCTGTTTCCATGGCATGCAGGTCCGTGACTTTCCATTGGCCGCCGTCAAGTTTCAAGAGGTCCTTGGGGAGGGTACATTTGGCAAAGTTTACAAAGGGGAGCTGATGGGGTTGGAGCATCAATACAGCGTCAACCCGGTCACGATCAAAACTCTCAAGGAAAACTCAGCCTCTAAGATGGAGCAAGATTTCAACCGAGAGGCTGAAGTGATGGCCTCGTTACGTCATCCTAACATCATCTCATTGCTCGGTGTGTGCACGACGGAACAGCCCCTTTGCATGTTGTTTGAGTTTATGCCTCACGGTGACTTGCATGAGTTCCTTGTCCGGCACTCACCCAACTCGGACGTTGGGTTCGGCAGTGGGGACGACGAGACTCAATCCTCGTTGGATCAGTCGGACTTCTTGTCAATTGCTATACAAATCGCCTCAGGGATGGAGTATCTGTCTAGTAGGTTGTTCGTGCACCGCGACCTTGCAGCGCGTAATTGCATGGTGGGCGACAACTTGCAGATCAAGATCGCGGACTTTGGTTTGTCCCGGGATATCTACTCAGCGGATTACTATCACATGCAAGCGCAGGTGCTGCTGCCGATCCGCTGGATGGCACCTGAGGCAGTCATGTTCGGTCGCTTCTCCGTAGAAAGCGACATCTGGTCATTTGGCGTGGTCTTATGGGAGATTTACTCGTACGGTTTGCAGCCGTTTTACGGTTACAACAACCAAGAGGTGATTGATATGATCCGCACTAGGCACATACTGCCTTGCCCAAGCGGCTGCCCCCCGCACATGTACGTACTCATGACGGAGAGTTGGAACGAAGCCCCCAATCTCAGGCCCACCTTTAAGGCCATCAACGCTCGCCTGCGTTCATGGGAGGCGTTGCCGGCTGCCAACCACCAAAACGGTAACCTGTATACTAACCCCACTGTCAATTTCAATCCCATGATCGGTCCCACTTCCCCGACGCAAACCCACAGCAGTTCGGGAGTCAAAAGCCAGTTGTCTTCGCATCACAGTCGCTCCACGCACAGCAAGGGTTCCCACGGTGACAGGGTCACAGGGTCGTCGGAGAAGGCGATGTCGGAGAGCTCGGCCACGACGGCCGGGACGCATTCAACAAAGGGTAAGAAGGAACGAGTAGAGCAGACAGCTGTTTGAGACGGACATGTTATTTAATGGTATTTTCTCTGTAAATCGTAGCCCAGATTAGCCTACCCATAGGGTCATTTAGAAACTTGACCTAGCCTAAGCCATTTCCAAATTACTTGCCTATGGCTGGCAAACACACACACATCAATTGGAAGTGGCTTCTGCTGCCTCCATAGGGGCATGTGTTATTGAAAGCCATAGCCATGTACTTTGCACACAGCCTTACTTTAGCAAGTCTCTCTTCGCAAAGTGGTAATACTATTATAAAATTTTGACGGTGGCGAGATTGACAAATCTTCAGAAATGTTGTTAAATTATTCATGTGGATGGGGTTATACCTAAAGCAATTTAGGTCGTCAATTAACCAAAGGTCTATTTAAAGTTATAGCTTTCCCTCTTTGGATACTGAGGACATTTTATTTTTCAAGAAAAAAGGGTTCAGTGAGAAAAAAAATTTAAGTGAAAATTTGGACTTCCATTGTCTTTCCAATCCCATAACGACCTCAGAAAATGACTTCTTCTCTAAGAGGCTTCCCTGTCCATTTTTGTCAACAGTAAAACAAAGTACTGAATTTTTTGGGGGGCCCCTTTGAAGTTTGAGTCAGTGTTTTAATGGACTCGTTGCATAATCAGTAGGTGGCGCTTCTCTATCACTGGTGTCAGCTTTATGTGCAGAACATAGTGCATGCAGGCACTGCTTCATTTGCATATGCTGCGAAGTACATGTACGCAGACTAATTTCATTTTAAGTAAATGCACACATACATATACCCCTATATTCTATGCATAAGCGCAAGGTTTGGGATCCGTGTCCGAACAAGAGAGGGCGCTTTTTTACCGCTTTTGAGAACCCCTTGGACGAGACAGAGTGCGTGCAGGTATACTTGTTCCGTAGTTGTGGGGTCTGTACACAAGAGTTGTCCCATGGTATTACGGGGACCGAAGACGCTCTGGGGACAGCAGAAAGTCCCCATAACTCGGTCCTAATTTGCCTAACAATAACAAACTTCCCCATAACGCAGTGAGTGCCCCCGCGCGGGTATGTCCTCAATGCTATAGCTTCTTCACGTGAGCATCAAGCGTTGTCGACAATGCGTTCAAATGTGTCTCCCAGTGGTCTCCCCAACTCTCCCTTTCTTACCGTTGAGGGGGTACTTGTGCACGGAGCCAAACTAAATGCGCACAGCACTGTATCTTCTTTGCATTAGTGATAGACATACGGCAGCAACGCTTCGCAATCATTGACAGGATACCTGTACACGGAGTCCATACTTAAATAAATGTATCTTCATTGAGCATGTTCAGGCAAGGACCATTAGTTGACTAAAGGTTGATTTGTGATGTAACTTATGCCTGCACAGTAAATGCAAATGTCTCTAGTCAAACACTGATCAAAACGTCATCCAGAAACTTTTTGATCCTGGTTCCCTGCTGTGCTTTATGATGCGCACGGCTATTGGTAACCAGCGATGGAACCATGCCCTGTGGTCCGGTTCCAAATAGTCAACTACAGCAGTCCAACCATCCTTTGTTTGAGCGAAGTTAGTCAAACTATGGTTAACTATCCGGTTCGTTAGTAAAAACGTCATTCACGCGCGCGCACCACTGATTACTAGCCTATTGGCTACAAACGCTCAAGCTGCGTTAACTTCCGGTTCCAATCGTGCAGAAAGTGCTGGAGGTGACGTCACACTAACAAACCGGATAGTAAGCACCCGAACATGCTTATTGAAGTAAAAGGCTTATGAATGTATGATACTGAACAATAAGTTAATCTGTAACAAAGCACATGCCAAAACATTGTATTGTGGTTGAACATTAATGTCACAATGTTATTTATATACGGTTGTACATAATCAACAGTCACTGAGTGTGTGTCACTCATCGAGTTAACCATGACTTACGTACTCATTATACAGATGAAATGTAAAAAAAAAAAACTGTAATGAAAGATATGCAATCTAACATGTACTTTTTCAAACGTTGTAGTAGTTATTTTTTTTGAAAGTTTTATGTATATTTTTACCTGTGTTTTTAACAATGTATAGGTGTTTCATATTTTTGCTATTTCCTTTAAACTTTCTCCCAGAGTTTTGTTTGTTTGTTTGTTTTTACTCCAGATTTATTCTGGAAATATTTCAAACAAAAGCTCTACAGGTGTTATTTTGTTTATATTTTCCAGTATTCAAAAAGCTGAAATAACGTCTATTATTTTCAGCTGCTTTTTCTTTCTTAATCGTGCTGTTCTGTTCTACATTTTTGCAGAATTATCTTATGAAGTTGTTGCTCATACATGTATGCCAATTCTTTTTTATGATGAGATTTTATTTTCTAAAGAAGATTGGAAAAAAAAGTAGCCGCACAAAGACCTCTGGGTATTGTTAAAGGCATATACTAGGACCATTTGCATTTATCCCAAAAGTAACCTAGCGAATTTTTATCAAACAGATTATTTGGATTAAAGGCCGTACTGGTACTAAACACCTCGTGAAATTATTCCATCTGGCTTGCTGAATTTAAATGAAGGTGATTTCCAACGATCAGTCAATTGACCCTATCAGTCTTTATGGCCCTAACCTAATAGTCAGACTGAAGGTGTGTGCCTTACGATTTCTGCTTGAAGAGTTTTTGTATTGATTTTATCATGAAGCATGTTGATATAAACATGTAACAGGGAAGTCCCAAACAATTGGTTTCCCCCCACCCCCCTTTTTTGTATTATGTCTCCTGTTGAATTTTTGGTCTTATTTCGGTCTGGTTTTTAAAACGACCCAGATGTTTTTTCTTGTCTATTTGGAAGTTTAGTGTGAAACTAAATGCAAGTGCAAAGTCCCAATAAGTAGCTGAATGTATTGCTGAAACCAACTTTTGTATACAATCATTGAGCTTGCCAAAGATTTTAAAACTGAATTTCAAACCTCAAAAATTTCTCAGTACTTAAACTTTTTCGTAAGGCCTTTTGTTTGTTGTGACAAATGCTGAGGTTCAAAATGTTTAGATTTATATTTTTAATTTGAACGTTTTACATTGTTTGAAAAAATGTAATTCCTGGGATAATATGTCTTTTTTTTTTAACTGAGAATCATTGCCAAATGTTAGGCTTCCGAACTCACAAAAATCATGCTCTTTGTATTAAAAATATTTCAACTCATTTTAATGGCAACAAAAATGTACTCTGAATAATTATTGAATCGTGATGATTTGGATAATGTGCTGCGTAACCAAATCATTGTGCCAAAAATGTGTTTAATAAAAATGTCAAGCAAAAATCAATGAGGTCTATCTATATTCTGAAAAAATTATTTATAATTCACTCATTCTCGTATAATGCCATGTTATTTTAGTTATTTCCCCCAAAAATTCCAATCACGCTTATATGAACGATGTTGAAGTCCTCCACGAAACAACAAAATTCATCCAATAAAAACGTTTCAGAATAAATGATCTATTTAAAGGAAAAAAAGTAATCACAAGTGTATCGACCCTTCAATTTTTATCTTTAGCTTTTTAATTAACACTTCTTATCTATTCTTCATTTGTAGTCAAAGTGACCTATTTTCTGTATAATGCTGTACATTTTAAAATATTAAAAAATATCTATTGTATTTAAACTAATATTCCCACTTTAGTAATTTATTAGAAACTAGTCTAGCTGGGCAAAGCGCTGTTTTTCTTCTATTTCAGAGAAACGCCACACTTTATATTCAATTGGTTATTGAATAACTGTAATTATTAAAGTTGTACATATTGTTTTGTTTTCTATAAGTGTAATTTGCCCTCTTCTGTGGACTCGTAAATATTTGAGCTGCATTTGATGTTGCCCAGTACTTAGAACTTTTTTTATTGATTTGTATTAGTGTAATGTAGCACTTAATGCGAATGCATTTTGTACTGTTTTGTGACAAATATTGATATTATCAAAAACAAGGAATAAATGAAGTAACACCATTGGACGACAGTGTAATCGTTTGGGCTGGATCGCATACTTAATTGAAATCCGTCTGTCGGTCTCTTTTGAGAAATTATGATAGTGTCATAAATTTTCAAGAATTGATCAATTTTACATTTTCTTCCTCACGTTAGGACAGATACAACACCCACACAAGTACGCAATGGCTGCCTTTTTGTGACGTTACCAAAAAAAAAGCTAATTTGGTTTCTTTTGGGGGGCATGGCCCCAATTGCCCCCCCCCCCCCCTCCAGATCCGCCGTTTTTTGCCCCATGCCGATTATGGAGGGGTGGGGGCTCTTGTTGGTGTTTTGCTATTTCTGTAGATGTTTTAATTCTTCTGCATATACCAACTGGTTTCATTTAGTGCTCTTTTTTTCACGATGTAAGCTGTTGAAGAATTTTGTAGGTTGCAGACTGACATACATATAACAAGAAGCCAACAAGTGCGAACAATGCTGAAACAAAGCTCTTCCAAAAAATGGGACTAACCACCCACAGCCTTTATTTCTTGTTACTCCTCAAATGTCCAACTAAAAAGAAAAGCTTTAAATGCGCAAGTATTCACAAAGGCAAAACCAGCCTCGCTAGACAATCTTGCATTGTAAACTTCCCAAAAGAAAGAATTTAGGGCGCATGCCTACCTTGGGCCGTTAACCTTGTTCGCAATAACTGACCAATCAGAAGCCTCCATTTGTAGAACACAGGTGTGTCAAGCGCGCGCAATACAAAAAGTCATCTGAAATGGATTGATTTTGTTGTGTCGTCTGCTCAGAAGAAATCTAGACCAGACTGCGCCCAACAGCTGATGTGATCGCGTGCATCAAGTGTGGGGTTTTCTAGATTTGTCATAATCAAGATTTTTTTGGCGAGGATGAGTCAACAATGTACGTGGAGCTCGAAATTTTCAAATCTGGAAAATTACAAGGGATTTTTCCCGAGCTTCGCGGAAGACCAGCTTGATTTGTCCACCGTTTTTTCGACGGGAGAGATGAGAGATCGATGTGAGGATCTGGTCGAGGTAAAATGCGATCGTTCAAAAATTGGAAGTTCAGTGGTGAGACACGCTGAACAGACGACGAAGCAAACAAGGTAAGCAATGTTCTGACATTCACAGCTGAAACATTATGAGATAAAATTTTAATTTTTAAAACAAAAAATCAATGAAATTTTGTAATTAAAGACCTCACCCAACCCCAGAGTTATGTTGCATGTGACAGACATCTCAACACTTTTTTTTCTCCATATCGGTGACTATTACTTAGTAGAAGAAACAGTAGCACGTCTTTTTCTTAAAAAATAAATAAATAGGTCAGCCACAAGAATGCTTTATGGGTCGTGAATTTAGGGTTATAATTCTGTCTTTGGGAAATGAGACAACATGTACATACTTGTGTTTTTAATTGAACAGCTGCCTTGTACTTTCTAGTTGTACATCTTGTATTAAGTTGTCTTTAAGAAAAATACGGAGTTGTAAAAATTGTCACCGTAAACGTCATTCTTTATTTTGTGATGAACAAATGATGAAAGAGTGACTTCTGAAGTTCTGTTAATGAATTTAAAAAAAAACTTTTTAACCCGTTTTCCTCATCGTAAAAAAATAAAACTAAAGACTAGGAAATCGAGAAACAATACGCGAGTGCCACGCCCGCGAAATTCATCAGTACTGGCAATTAAAAGAAGCCGTTTTGGTACGTTTCATTTTTTGTTATCATGAGAATGTGTTACATAATCTGTTTACAACCCAACTACTTCCAGGTCTTTAGTGCAAAAAAAAAAAATCTGAACCAGACACCCAAAGAGGATTACCTGAAAGAATTTGTCTGATCCGCCATGCATAAATTACGTTTTCTTTCTTTATTTGAAAAGACCATAACCCAACATTGCGACCCACCTCGGTGTTCTTGTCAACAAGTTTCGCTTGTGACCCGTGAACCGGTTTCTTAGTTGTACAAAACTGTGACCGCGGCTAAACCTTAAGCAAAAGCTTTGGGCCATAATTTGATAAAATAGTGCTCATTAAACCCTTTTTGGGGTTATATTTCAGTTTTTGTTTTTACTTTGCCCCCCTTCCTTTTTTGTTTTGTTTTACCTTGTCGGGCTTCTTCGGGTCCTTTTTTTACGCCCATGCCAAATGTCCCAATCTGAATTTGACCTTGTTTTGGTATTTCGTAATTACTCCCCTAATGTAATTGGACTGTATCACTAATTAATATTTAATTTAATGTTCTCGTTGTATCACTGACTTAAGAATAAGTGTTGATGAATAAATAAAGTCAAACAGCAAAAGTTACATGACACCCACAGGAATTGGGCGGGTTACTACTCCAGGGTGACTCTGTCCGAATTTATACAACTCCCAGAAAAAGTTCCCCCGAGGTGAGTGAAGGGAACGGTAGCAGCAGCGGTAGCGGCAGCGGCGGCAGTAGCGGGGGAGGTAGCGCCGTAGCCCCGGGACGAGAAGACGCGTGCTACGCAAGGCCAAGACGCCTCGGCCTAGCGCCCGGAGAAACGACCCGAGATTCCGAGGGGTCACTTTCTGCGTCGAGACACAAATCTGCCGCGAAAAGAGGCACAGATCACAGCTGAACATTCGGTCCTTTTACAGGTAGGCAAACTCATTGTTTTCTTGCTTGGACATGGAAGAGATAATCACATTGGCGGCATTATTTTTTATTTTCGGTCTGAAAAAATGTAAGCGAAAAAGTACCAATATGTTGCAGTTACATGTAGAGGAAACGAAAAAAAAAAAACTAGAGCGATCAAGCCCGTACTTGAAGCCGTTAAAAATACTTGGGATTAATCTCTCTTTTTTTTTAACGAAGGCAGATAAAAAATGAAAGAACTATCAGCCCTTTGAGTTGATGTTAATGCTTCTATTGCATCTTATATTTCCATTTCTTCGCAAGAATTTGCACAAAATTGGATGTAAACAAACAATCGAAAATGTGTTTTTCTTTATTTTCTCGCAAAATATTGGTCTTGCACAACGGTTGTGAGCGCTAAAATTGGCCCGTATCACTTGAGTACTTTGAGTATTTACTGATAGAATATTTATTGATGTGCAACAACGCGAATGATTGTGGTGTATATTTTGGTATTTCTGAAGCATAAAGAAGAAGTTTTCTCAAGATGACCAAGCTAAAGGCCACGCGAAGACGCAACGACGAAAGCTTTCCGTGGTGTCGTCAACTAGCGGCTCTGATGAGGCCGAGACAAGGGTGGCACAACGCATCGCTATCCCGTACGCCGGCATTGTGTATGGTGAGAGGAGATTGTATTGACTAAAATGGGGGCCAAAAAATGTGTATGATCGAACATTTTTGTAATCTTGAATGAGGAAAATTTGTCAAGGAATGACAAAACAATATTCAAATTATCCCTATACAATTTCTTTAAGTTATGCCTATCTTAATAAAAGGGACTAAATTTGCATTTGATTTGCTGTAAGATTGAAAGTTTCAATAGGATGGAAAGACTTCCTTGAAGATGTTTTATCAGGAAAACTTACACTGTTATTACTTTTCTTGATACCATTGTGACTGGGTGATATTGACCTTTTTTCTCCAGTTTTAACCTTTTGTTGGTCGAAGGATAAAAACCTCTTTTTTTTAATTGATATTTCTGACCATCCTCCATGTTCTGAACAATTCAACTGATTAAAAGTGTATCTCTTCAGTTTCTCTGTGTGAAACTTACTAGCATGAACTCAATATTTTTAATTTTTTTTAAAACAGGAGACAAACAATGTGCCTCCTGCTTAACTAGACGGACCCCTTTGTGGCGGGATGCAGAGGATGGAACACCACTCTGTAATGCATGTGGCATAAGGTAAGGTGATTGATTGGGTGGGAGGAAAATCAGACGGGGGTTCGCTGTAGTCTTTGGAACTTGAAGCTTGATCTTTTGTTTTTGCAAGAGAGTCAGATTGGTGCAGTGGTTCTTTCATTCACTTCCTCCTCTGTGGCCCGGGTTCGATTCCTGCCCTGGTCCACATGTGGATTGGGTCTTCTTTTTTTTTTTAAACATTTTTTGTGAGAGTTTTATCAGTAGATTAAGGGATTTTCTTGTGTTTTAGTGAATAACAAAAACAAATGTCTTATGAGATAACTTTTGCAATGTTCTTTGTTGAAATGTCTTGCACAGCACATTTTTAAGTTGCAGAATCTTTGGTCTTATCCATAGGTACAAGAAGTACCGCATCCGCTGCATTGTCTGCTGGAACATTCCCAAGAAGGATGGCAAGTCATCATGTCAAGTGTGCTCTCGATGTGGAAACGCCCTCCGGTTTACCATACCCAAGCGATCCTTCTGCTAATATGGTGTCGACCTCATGAGTTACGGTACGCAAATATCCACTAAATATTGCAAAATTTGCCAAATCAACAACATTTGGCTTAACTGACGACCACAATTAAAAGACATCAGCGAGGTGTATGTCACACATATCCTTATCCCATTAGCAACTGTTAGTACTTTGTGGGGTGGGGGGGGGGGGCACATGCCCCCCATAAAAAAATTGTCGTCCCCCACTGGAAATTTGTTAGTCCTATAAGTGACCATGGTTAACAGGTTTAACAGAAATTGGGTTCCGCCCCCCCCCACCACCAACGCCCCCACTGTAACATCCAGCCCCCCCCCCCCACTCCCCCCCCCCCTATGGAAGGATTCCTGGCTATGCCGCTGGGTACATTGGGGGGAGGGGGGGCACATGCCCCTATAAAAAAAGAATTGGTGTCCCCCCCCCCCCCTCAACTGGAAATTTGTTAGTCCTATAACTATAAGTGACCCTGGTTATAACAGGTTAAACAGAAATTGGGTGTTTCCCCCCCCCCCCCCCCCCCCCTTCCCCTGTGGTGAGAACCCTAGCTACGCCCCTGGATACATTGTATTTATTCCCTCCTGAAACCACAAAAACAATACTGTGTCTGGGGTGTACAGGGAGTAGCATGCCGGGCGGTTTAGGGCAGTACAGAGACTAATGGGTTCATTTGAGGAGTGCATGCATTTCGGCAAGTTGTAAACACATCATTCATTAGGGAGCTTACAAGGCATTCAGGATCATTTTCTTTGATGTGTTTTGTCCGTTTTCAATCGTAACACCACTCAAAATCCAAAGAAGAATGTTCAAAACACAGTTGAAGTTTCAGCTCTGGGTAGCTATTGCACAACAGTAAAAAAAACATGCACAGCTTTCTGATCGTGAGACACGATATCATCCAAAGCATCTGTATTTAAAAAAAATCAGTCAATTGACTGATGGTTGGAAATCGCCTACATTTCTTGATATCTTCTAAGTGACAGCAAGCCAAATGGAATAATTTCACAGGATGTTTAATCCAAGCATCCAAGCAAACTTTTGACAATAATTTGGTAGGTTATTTTTGGCATAAATGCAAATGATCCTATATGCCTATAATTCCCATTTCTGCAGAGTGACTTGACACAAACAAGCATCCACATTGATTTGAACGGGTATAATAAAGTGTTCAATGAACATTTTAAAAATTACAGATTTGTGTGTAAAATGTAATGAATCTTGTGCATGAATTGATACCTCTAACCGTTCTTATTGTGAATAAGTGGCTTATACTTGTACATAGGAGCACTGTCAGGCAGTGCTGTTCTTTAACCTTTTCCCTTTTTTGTTTGTAATTATTTTGAATTTGAATTTGAATTATGTCAAAACAATTATTTAATTGTATAATTTATTTTATATTGATACATATGATTTTTTTTTTTTTAATTATTGATTTTTCTTCGGAAATGTGCAAACGGATTCTGGGTAGTAGTTTAAAATTCTTTTTTATGTTTTTCGGTGGAAGTAAACCAAAATATTTGAAAAGATTGTTTATACCAAAGGAAGTGTATGCTTTTCAAAGGAATTTTGTTTCTTACAAAGCAACAATTTATTTATTGAGTTCCTTATGAACGTCTTTCTGGAAACCCCTTTTTTGTGTCTGATTTATGTATTTCGTCGTTGGATATGCTGGTCATGAACTCAAAAGCAATCGAGAGACATGGATGACTTCATCTCATTAGCATAACTTTTTACGGTGATTTTCTTAAAAAGCTTTTCAAACTTGAGATATATTTCAGAATTTGTATATTTCTGCATGCTGATGAAGAGAAAAGAATGAACATTTGGTCATTTTGTAATATTTCATGATCTCTAGTTGTTACATAATCAAATTAACATTTGGACAAAAGAGAAAAAAATGTAAACGTATTGTTAGTATTTGAAAATACTATGCAAAATATAGGATTACATTTATATTTGAGTACTATTCACACAAGAAAGGAAACAAAATGCTTTTATTTATGAAATATCTCAGTTTTTTATTCCTGCTGTGATACAGAAATATCACATGATTTATTTAACATAAGTTACCGTATATTTTTGAATACCCAAAGAAAATATTTGTTGGGTAATGAGCAGACTTTTTGGAAATGAATATGTGTATTTATTAAATATTTAACTGCAATTTAATGTTGTCAATAAATATATCATTGCAATTTATTATGTCTGAGAGGCTACCATGTTTATGCGTATTTCAAACAGGATTTTTTTGGGGTGGCTTCAAACTTGGATTTGCAGGTTTGTACGTAGTCCAGGTGCTCAGCACATGATTGAGGAAAGAATGTTGCAACCTGACGCCACTTTTCTCTTAATATATCATCTCAATAAAGGTCAGTCATTGCAAAAATGTTGAAAAGACATGAATCTGAGACTGAGAAACATTTCCAATTTTGTTAGGAAATACTTCGACAATTTTCTTGACTTTCCATAGACTGTGTACACAACTGAAGAGGTGGCGTCTGGAAACTACATACTTCATTCTTTCCATGATTGTCTTCATTTTGCCGACGCGCATGGCTACGACGACGCACGCGTATACCAGAAACCGGAGACTTTTTTTTTTGGCCTAAAGGTGTTTTTTTTTACCTTTAAAAAATTATATAGAATAGAAGAAATGCCATTGGTATTTTAAGGGTCGTTTTATGACAAATACGAACATATGACATAGACCCCTACGTTGCCCTGGGGCCCCCGACGACCCTCAAAACCCTCTGCCAATTATTTTATTAATGTTTTATCCCGCCCACACCCCTAGTTTCTGTTCACAGTTATGGACAATCAGAATTGTGAAATTCACAATGCTCGTCTACTATAGATGGTTGATCAAAATTTTTTTTATCAAAACACTGAAATGCTTGTACGTCTGCCATACAACATAAGTTACTAACTGTATTAAGTTTTAAACTACACCAGGTGTTATTTTTTCCGTCCTTTCTTCTTGCTTTTAGCACCGCTTTTTTCACCGCCATCGACTGTCCGATGCATGCTGGGTACATGAAGGGCATGTCCAGATGATTTGATGTGATTGAAGAGCTTGTTTCTTGTTGGAAACTCATTCCGACAGACATTGCACACAACAGGATCATCACTCGCTGATTGGACCTTGGACAAAAAAGCAATAAATTAAAAAAAAGAAAACATTCCTCTAACGTTTTTGGAAAACTGTTCCTCAACATATGAACTATCGATTGCATTTCAATATTTCTGATGGCTCCTCTTAATTTTATAAGATTGGATTCTCCTTTTAGCTAGTGGCATACTTGTATAAGAGCACTGTATAAAAAGTGCTGCCTTGAAGAGTGTGCCCTGTGATGTCATGCTGACAGGCAAGCGCATGTTATTTGGCCAACATTAAACAGTTTTATGTCAACACTTTTACACCATTCATATTTCAAGAGATATACATGCAGTGCAGAAGAGAACTGTTTGCTGAAAGTTGGAATCACATGACCACAACATCCAATTTTGTTTACAAATGTCACATGGTCTATAGTACAAGAATATTTCACAAGCTTGCTCGGGCAGGACTCAAACCCTCAACATTCTACTTATAAATGAATGCAGACTTTTTTAATTCCATAAAAAAATCTTTCTATTATTTTTAAAAAGCATGTCTTACTTTTGTCTTCTGTTCCTGGTTCGCCGTCTTCTCCCTTGCAGCTCTCCTTGCCTCCTTAGCTTTCTTCCCTTTTAGCTTCACAGCCGGCTTCTCTGATTCCTCCGCATCCTCCACCGAGCCATTAAGTCTCTCGCAAGGATCCACTTCCCCTGTCCTGTCATCTTCTCCTGTCTCCTTATCCTCATCCATCCCTTTGTCTTCTTCGTCTGCCTCTTGGCTTCTCTCTGGAGATGTCATCTTGAGACGGTCGGCGATATGTGATGGCAAATCTTCCAGAACGTCGTCATGGACTGGTTTGGACCTTTCAGCCGCTTGTTGCTGTTTTCTTTTCTTCTTCTGCTTCTTAGATAATCTTTAAGAAAAAAATATTGAAAAAAAAAAACCCCTAGATTATAAACTAATTAGGGGACCATAGTTAGAAGACAATACTTAGGTGATACCATACTCTTCAACGAATTCCACATGTTCTTTTTTGTTACATATTAATCCTAGTAAGTTGTATTAAAGTATGCTCCTCGACAGGAGCATTGTGTGCACACTAATACTTGTACATGGGTCCTGATGCTGTCGCAGGTTTATCCATAACAAAAAGGAACACGGTGAAAAACGTTAGAAAGACTTCAACACTTCAGGACAGACTTAGATAAGGCCAGAAAATAGTCTTCAAACTTGACACTCGAAATGGGATTATTTTGACAAGGCTTTGGGGGAATGGAACATAAGCATCATTATAATTAATATCTCAGAAAAAACATTTGAGCTTTTCCTTGCGAGTTTAGCCTTTGGGTGAAAAAAGAGGGAAAATGAGATATAAACAAAGTTTTTTGGGATAATAATAGTGAAAGTAATCGTTCCAACTTACTTATTTTTCTTTGGCTGGTTACTCTCTGGAATCCCATCTCCATCATCGTCATTACTGTCTTGAAGTAAATCTCCAAGATCTGCATCATCATCTACCTCCTCCTCCTCCTCCTTGGAGCTGTCTTCCTCCTGCCTCCCATCGGCAATCTCCTCTTCCTCCTCGGCCATCTGCTCCTTGAGGAAAGCCACATTCTCCTTGTGCTTCTTGGAATTCTGATGATTGGCAAATCTGTATAGAAGAAAAACACTAACTAAATGATATGTCTGGAACAACAGGCCTGTGCTCCTGCTTTTCTTTGTAAAATCATTTTCTCATTCCCCCGCCCCTAAGAAAATCCAAAATGGGAGACTTTTTTCCAACTTGAAATCTGTACAAGTTACTTACGCTTTGTCACTCTTGAATTCCTTATTGCATGCGACACAAAACAAATCGTTTAGAAAATCCTCCTCCTGGTTGTCCTCTTCTGAACCTGTCCAAAATAGATCAGTTAAAAAAAAAGATGTTTATTTGAATGAAGTGATTGAGGTCTATGAAATTAACAAACGACATCCACAGGTTGAAAGTCACTATAACACAGATCCATGAGTATATCCTGTGCTGCACTCCCGTTACTTGACTACAACACTGGTAAAGTGCCTAGTGAGTAAGGGATGAGTTAGGAATTACTCTTTCCAGACCCACCTGATGCACTGCTTGCCGAGTCGTCTCCGAATTCCTCCTGTAGAGCTGCCTCCATCTGCCTCAGTTCTGCTTCCATCTCGGCACGGACCTCTGCTCCTTGCTTGGCATACTCCTGGAATTGCCTGCATCCAATAACAAAGGAGTTGATAACTTCCGGATTATTTAGCATCTTAGAGGCTGATTCATGATTCACACAGATGAGAGTTGAAATCAGTGAAATTCACCAAGAGTTGAAATTTTAATGTTGAAATGTTCACGAAGTGTTCACCTGTTACAAATTCACAGTTTTCACGAGACATCATAACGTTTTGTTTTCATTCACTTTTGCAGAGTATGAACTGGCTTTAAGTCCCAATGTTTCTTTAGCTAAACCTTGCTTGAAGCTGATGATGATGCACGAAAATGTTTCAATAACATTTTCAAAAACACTCAACCATTGCATCAATAGAATTTTGATTTTAGACAAGTGGTAGAAATGTAAGGATAAGACCTACTTTTCTCTTTCTATCCTCTCTTGTTTCCTCTTCTCTGCGTCTAGTCTTGCTCGCTCGGCGTTTTTCTCCTCCAAACGTTTCTGTAATGATATGAACAAATCTGACACTGTTTGAGGCAGCCATAAAATAGTCTTTATTTTGTAGGCAATCAACTTCAACACACTAGCTGGTGTTCATATATTGTATTACAAAAGCCATTTTGGCCCCTTGCTGAAGTGTGAGAGACATGATTAATCCTTCATAAGATGGAATACTTCGTCGGTGAAGGGCAAAACCTAACTTGATGATCAATCCTGCTACTTACCCTGTAGGCTTGGACCCTCTTGTCTCTCTTGCGAACAAACGACACCAATGCCTGCAAAAGACAGGAAAAGGCCCTCATGTAAAAAAAAATATCATCACTTTTGTTTCTTCAAAATAACTACATTTACCATAATGTGTAATGAAGTCCTTTAATGCCAAATAAAAATTCAAAAGATTACTTTCACAAGATATTCACAGGTTTTGAATCCATCTAAGTGGGAAAATTTCTTCCCATGTATTTTTTTTCAATAATCAAGTATGTGTTATGGAGTGTCTCAAAACTAGGAATGATTCCTCTACTAGGGTCTTTTTGAATGTTCAAAAGATACTCTTTATGGAAGAGAATGTGTTCTTGAATTGCAGAAACACTGTTCCCTGGTAGAAATTCTGAGCGCTCACATTTGAAGATGATCCTCTTCATAGACAACTGTGTGTACCAATCCCAAGTTTCGTGTGGATCTTTTCAAGAACTTTTTTACAAGTCTTCTTCCCAACACACTCACCCTGATTTCTTCATTCCATTCTTTCTTCGCTGCATCCCTCAGTTTCTTATTATCCTTCTCCATCAATCGGGCCACCCTTCGGTTTGGCGCATCCCTGGTATCATAAGTCTCCTTCCAGACAAATGACCGAGACGTACTGTAGCTCTGCCAGTAAGCATAGAACGGATGCACCACCTCCTCATAAGAACTGTCCGAGGATCCAAATTGAGGGATCTCAAAATCTTTGTCTTTATCGCCGCTCGCGAATTTCAGATCCTCTTCCGATATTTTGTAGAATGCCTCGGTGTACACTGTGTAGAAACCCTGAAAATGAAGCCAAAGTTTGGAGAGAAAAAACAGTAATTTCAAAATCCTTGCATAAGTACAAGTTCACGAGTTCAGGTAAAATGATTAGGAAGTTACACGTATATCCTACAAAGTTCCTTCCTCTTTCCACCCCCATGGGCTGGGTTCGATTCCTGCCCATGTCAATATGTAGATTAGCTTTCAGTCCCTGCCTGATTCCATGTTTCTTTCCCAGAATATTCTTCTGGTGTTTTTACCTTGCTTGCGAGTTACAGTGCCTGGGGCCCTGTTGAGCAATCTATGGTTTCAAAATAAATAATAAATATAATAATAATTTTACTTACTAAAGTGGTAACATACAAACCTTGGAATCGTCACCAAAACCAGAGTAAGCTGAAGCTGTGAAATACTGCATCAGATTGATGGAGCTACCTTCATAGTCATCCCCATAGCCTGATGAAATGAAGAAAAGTAAACAAAGTCAAAAGATCCTGACTCTGTTAGGGCTCGTCTCAATTCATATCTGGGACGAGTTCCTCACAAGTTGCAGGTAGAATCATTCACTTTGTCAGGAAGAAGCTCTGCATTTATCCCGAACATGTTCCGGGGAAATGTTCATTAGCGACTGCTTGACTCATCAATACCGATAACTTCATTGCAGGAAGATTGCAGGGAAGTTGTTCAGAATCCTACAACTTATACCCGATACAATGTCCGCAACTCGTCGGGAAATCATCCTGGATATAACTTGATGGACCTGCCACAGTGTATTATATTATTTAGTAAAGGCTGCAAATTGCTTTCCAACAAAAGAGAATTGTTAAAGTGAACATGGCCTGACATTTCCCAGAGTAAAAGATTCCCCAGTTTTTGCCAAACCAAAAAGTAAAACGAGCAACAAGTTGATCCAAGAAGATTTTGATTTCAGGCAGGCGAACGGAATGTATTAATATTCAAAACACTAGACTTTTGAGTCATTTTGAACAACTGCAACAGTCGATAACTCAATAACTTTCACATTTGGTCGCTCTTAGGTGTTTCAAACATTGAACTTTATTGGAACGTTTAGTTCAGCCCGACAGCAAACGGCAGTCTGCAACAGCGATAAGTTTGGTACAACACTCTAGCCCTTACCCTTGAGTATTGCTTCCCTGTGCTTGTCATACCAAGCTCTCTCCTGAGGGTCAGCCAGCACATCAAAAGCCTTCTGGATAACAGCAAACTTCTCTGTGCACTCGGTGATGTTGTCAGGATTCTTGTCTGCATACAGAGTGTCAAGATGCAAAATCATTAATATGTAGATTCTAAGAATGAAACGTTATTGTCTTGTATCCATCTGCCACAATATTAGGGTATTTATATCACCATTGTAAGTCAATTTACAAGGATGAGGAAAGAATAGTACATCATGTTTGGCTATCCAAGTATGGATCTCTCCAAAGTTAGACATAAACCCCACCCACTTCACAATTAGGCAACAATACATGCATATTCAGCATGCCACTTTGCATATTCCAGCTACTTGTCACGCCCACTCACAGCTATGATTGGTCAAAACACGAAGGGGTGGGATTTAACAGATCAGTCTAGGAGCAGATGATTACCTCTACCACAACTTACCAGGATGCCATTTCAGAGCCAGTTTCCGGTAGGCTTTCTTCAGTTCAGAATCTCCAGCGTCTCTCTCGACACCAAGCACCTCGTAGTGACACACCATCTGACCGGCCATGGTGTGCGGAAGGAACAGGATTTATCTCTAGTTGACTCTCTTTATTTCCTGTAGAAAATACAAATATCTTTGTTTCTAATATGTCATGAATTTCTTCAAATTTAATAAATAGGAAAAGTACTGTCAACAACTTTCAAGGGATGCGAACGATGGATACTATCAGTTGATCAGTCTGTGCTAACGTGCTGATTTGTGTAAAGTGTTGGTCGACCGCATAAATATCAGTTGATTGTGAAGAAAGGATTTGAATGATCCACCATTCGTTCAGTGCACAGTTGGCATTTGGTCCATTTTGCAGGAATGTGTTTGCAATCAACCAATTGTGAAGGCATGGATATCTGCATTTGATCAACCATCTGATCATGCTGTATCATATGCAGGATCCTGTGCTATGTGCGATCAGCTGATTATGCAAAAACCGTTTCGGCAATCACAACCAACACACAAGCCCATTCTTGCACAAGGAATTATCCCCCACGTTTGATGCAGCAGGATCAGCTGATCGCGCAAGTTCTTTGCACTGTTGCAGTACAGCCCCCCGGCCCATCATGTAGCCCCACTAGTGTGGCCGCGATATTGCTGCGCTGTGGCCACACTAGTGGGGCTACCCATCGTGAAGTTAGATTTACAGATCACATGCAAGGACAGCTTGCACAGAGCGCCTTCACTGTGGTCTGTGGACAGTTTTCCTTTATTTACATTAAGTGAACATGAAAATTTGAGGTATCTACTCACTCATCACAAAGGAAAAAAGATGTGTCCACAGTGAGGGCGCTCTTTACAAACTCAATGACAATGCACAGCCACTGCACTGTGAAATGCGACAGTGGTTAAGGCCAAACTTCTGCTTGTCTTATCAGGCCTAAAAGTTATGTAAATCTCCGTCGCTTACAGTTACATAGAACCAGAGAAACCAGCAGTAACTAACCTGCAATGTATTCAATCTTGATCTCCAACAACCTATACAAAAATCTGGCGTGCGAGATCAGTCCAGATGGACATTACTTCTTCGCCGGCTTCGGGAAAACTGATATCAAGATTTCACTAGTCGTCTGCAATGTTTGGTTCCCATTGACCTCGCATAATAGTCGTATTAGAACTCGCCTCGACTGAGTGGGGTATCAGACTTATTGCGCCACATGTCATTTTCTCTAACCCAGGGATGTAACAATATTCCATTATAGTCGCACGATTTGATCTATTTCCGCGGAACGAGGTTAAAGGTCTTTTCAACGTGCGCTTGCAGTGCAGCAGTCGGAATGTAACGTTCTTGTCATTTTAATGTCTTCTTTACAAGTTAATTTCATAGACAAAATATAATTTATAACAACTTATATATTACATGAATGTTTATAGTATCGCAACAACGAGTTTCAATGTTTGATAATGTTGTAAACTACGAGTACGAATAAAAATCGGATATATTTTGGCATACTCGTGTAAAGGACTCAGTGAATCGCGAGTGGTAACAACAGAGGGCGCTATTTATCAAGTGTGGGCTGAGTGAAATCACTTGTGGCTGTGTAGTGTGTACATGTATTTTAATTTAAAAAATACTGAAATTGCTTATTTGTAAAATGTGTACGAAAGAAATAAAGATATGACTTGGATTTTAAAAACATTTCCAATTTTGTCAGAAAATATGACTCCCCCATGACTGCCCTTGAGTCTGGCCACTAGTACCGAATAAACAGCTGATTTGATGGAATGTTAATTTACTGAACAAAACAATTAATTTGTGGGAAAATGGTCACGAGTCCTTAACCCATTACCCATTATCAGTTTTGAATTTTCAAAAAAAGTACAGGATCTAATGTTCTGGGCTTTATTAGGAAGGTCTCGAAAAATGTTTTTTTTTAAAGGCCAGAAAAAAATAGGTCTGCTTCTGATTACATGGCATTTGAGAATAGGGTACATGTAGGTAGGTAGGTAGGGGAAAAAAGGGGGGGGACAATTTTTGTGTGTAGGATCATATGGAGGTGTCTGCGTGTATCAAGGTTAAAAGGTTGTAGCTGATGGTTTGGGGTGTTTTTCTCATTTTTCCGTAAAAACAATTAGGGTACGGGCTGTTGGAATGGGGTAGGTAGGGAAACCGGAAGCTGAACTATTTTGTTGGCCTCCTCTAATTTCAGGGCAATCCAGTCAGTAACCAGTTTGCAGCAGTTTTATTCGATTTTAATTTTCTTACAAATCTGATTTACCAGTTGAAGCTAGACCAACCAACCCCTCAGACCCAATCCAGTAATGGCACACCCGATGATGGATGGAATCTGGTTTGATAAGTACAAGGCGGATGATGCGGAGAAAGCACACCAGGAGAAGCGAGCCCAAGATCTGGGTGGATTGGTGGTGCAGGTATGTCTTGAGACTAATTTGTTGATCTAAATTGGAAGCCACTTTGAGGTGGAGCCATGTTCTCATGCACTTACGTTCCATCATGTCCACCGAACAGAAGTACACGATGTGAGCATGGTTCCACGTCCAATATGGCTTTGTATAATTATGTAAATTATTAGTTATTCCGGGAGCACAAGTCGAACATACCGTTAATGTAGTAAGCCTGTTCCAAATGCCATGAGGCTGAAGGCCGAGTGTCATATGAAACACGCACACACTACGGTTTCTATTTTCCACGACATTTCCCTCTGTGGTGGTCCTGTCTTGTTTCAGCCGGTGACGGTGATTTTCACAATTCATTGGGATTGGTGGGCACATTCATGTTGCATTCTAAACTTCATCCTATTTTTCTACCATTTTAAAACTAAATGGGAAACTTACATCCTACTGGCATATATTTTGCCAATTAAAAAAAATAGACAAAAAGAAGGAATAGATTGATCCAATGTTGGCGTCATTGAGTACACCTTGCCAGTGCCTCACTGCATCTCCAACTGCACATCTCATGTATAATGCAATCATTTCAGACTTATGCAATCACGTGGTTGCCTAATTACACCTGTGATTGGTTGAAAGTTATCATTATGGGTGGGGCTATAATGGACCAGTCTTTTGTCATACATACCAATTAAGCTAGTTGGTCCTAGGTTAGAGAAGCTAGGGTATTATGATGGAATTTTGCTTACCAAATATATTACATTTGTGCTACTTGTCAGTGGCTTACCATAAAAGTAAAAAATAATTTGGTAGTCTGTCGATTGGTTCTAGCGTGGGGCTCACTTATGCTTTGCTGTTTTGTGCAGTAGTCTCACTTCTTCATTTACTAACATGCTGCAGGGTTTTTAACTTGTGTGTTATCACAGTTTGTGTCCTCTTATAAGTTTTGTCTTTGTGTTTTCAAGTTTAGCAGAAGTTGGACAGATGAATTTCAATATGTTGGGAGATTGAACAAAGTAATGCTTTAAGAGCTGTTCAAGTTTTGTGAACCATCTGTCAAAATCAGAAGATATTCCTTTGGTCCTCTAGGACTAGGAGTAACTATTATTTAACTATGAAAATCATGACATATTTAACGTGGTTGTGCATTTTTTTTGTAATACATGTATGCCATGCATTCACCATTCAAAAACTGCAAATCGTTTTGCAGAAGACCATTTCCATTGGTCCAATTGTGCTTGAGGTTGCTCCAGAATTGTGCAAATTCATTCTTTATTCTGTGAACATCTAACCATTACTTCACAGCCAAAAGTTGAAATGACGGATTTGCAGTCACTTCACTTCAATAATTCTGGTTTATTCCCTAATTTTGGTAGAGTGGGTCACATTTGTTTTGCATTTTTACCTCTACTAACTGCATTTGTTGGTATCACAGTCTTCCTAATTTTTTTTCCAAGCAAAGCTCAACATTACCCTCAGTGGTTGATTCTCAGAGAATATTTACATACTATTTGGCAAGAATGTTCTTCTTTTGTTTTTAAATTAGTAAATTACAAAATCCCTTCAGCAAATGAATTAAAAAGTGTGTTTATGTACTTGTATGTGGCAACTAAAAGTATTTCCATCCATACTTGCTAGCACATTATAGGATTTGAATTAAAGGTTTGGTGCATTATATGTGTGACAATGCTGAAAATGATTTACCCAAGAACGTGTGCTTTTTCTTTATAAGAATCACGAAGATTATCATGCTTTCAAAACATCTTTAAAAATCTTAAATCATTGCCTGCTTAAAAATGAGGAAACCGAATTGTTATGTGATTGATGAGTCGGGTTACCATACCAGGCACCAGACTAGACACCTGTCAATTACTATGTGCACCTGTCGTTCTCTCTGCACTCCCGATCTATTCTGCAGGCCTCAAGCCCTAGCAGCCAAACAGAATCGGCCAACAGCGGCCTTGCTGGCCAGATTGCACGTGCACGACAGAACATTCAAAACACACTGAACGCTGTGAGTAAAACGGCCTGCTTCTCAAACTGTTTTGACGGACCAGTAGCGTCTCCATCCATGTCAGTGTCAGTCAAATATGATTTTGAAAAACAAATCATAACAATGTACATCCTTCCTCTTTTTTTTAATGAAACGTTTGAATAAATTCCTTTTTTTTTTAGTAGTCACAGAGGCATGCAAGCATATATAATTCTCTTTTTTGTTTGTTTAGAAAATATGTCTCTGGTTTGAGATAGTTCATTATATTCTAATCCTTTTTGAAGTTCAAGTGCATGTTGATTTTGTTTGCAACTGTTTGTAATATTTCTGTTTTTGTTTTTGTTTTTGTTCATTAAGTCTGTATCTAAGGAAAGATAAGTCTAAATCCATGATTTGTTTGATTTGGGCAGCTGATTTGTGACCAGTGACCTTTCAAACTCTTTTGTTTTTCCTCCCCTTCTTCACCCTCTGTCCTGAACCAGCACATTTGTTTTCTATCCTAAGAATTCCTGCATGACATCAACACTAACTACCACTGACATGGTTTGGCCATACTCCACTAGCCACCTTGCTATACTGTAATCCCTCTAATAATGTCCTTTCCTCATCGATCCCTACTCTCACTGTACCCATTAATGTAACTTATTCTATGAATGTTGCTGATGTAGTGCTTGACATTGTTAAAGTAGACGAGACTGTCTCGCAATCTGGAGATGTTGAATATCCAATATATCAGGATCATTTGCTTTTCATGCATTTTGTTCGTTTCCAATAATAACACCACTCCAAATCTAAAACAGAATGTACAAAACCTAACCTGTTGAAGTTTCAGCTCAGAGTATATTACACTTTTAGAAAAAAAAACTGTGAAAAACCATGAACAACCTTTTGATCACAAAACATGATTTCGTCAACAGCACTCTTTTGTTCCCCAAAAAATCAGTCAATTGACTGTTGGCTAGAAATCACCTACATTTCTTGATTTCTTCTAAATGATAGCAAGCCAGGCGGACATATTTCACGATGTTTTTAATATGAGTGCGATCTTTAATCCAAGTGAGCTTTTTGATGATAATTGAGAGGTTACTTTTGGGATAAATGCAAATGATCCTATACGCCTTTAAAGAGGTTAAATTATTATAGAGAGTTGAAATGTTCCTGGATGAAGAGAAACATTTCACCACAATGTTTCTTGTTTGTTAACCCTAACAGAACTCAACCCATCAAACCCCAACGGCATGTTTTGTTGGAATCTATCAGGATGGGTACAGTACCCCAAAACTGACAGTCTTTTACATTGGGTCGGCACACCTCCAGAAACTAAGTCAGAAATATGTGCGTGCAGTTTCCCATATGGTGTTGGAATTTGCCAGGATGGGTATGGTTCCTAGTAAAGCATGCTAGGGAGTTAGGGTTAATGGCCATGATCCCCTGGTGGGAATCGAACCCACTGTCTTGAAGACTCCTTGTCATGACACTCGGCATCTGATTCCAATGATCTTTGTCACTCAATTCCAATCAGTCATATGCATGGTTATGTTGTACTGCTTCTGTATTCTGTGCATTTGTGGTCAAATTTCATATTTTGTGTCCAATTGAATTTCTGCATGTGGTACATTCTGATTATAACTGTTTTGTCAACCACTCGACACTTTATCATGAAATCTTATACAAATACCAAGTTGACGTAGAGTTGATTTGACGTTTTGTGAATTTTGAGTCAACTTCATAAAAGAAACATCCTGGAATTTAGAATTTAATTGATTTTTTATTTGCGTTTAATTTGAACTTTAATTTAAGCCGTCATTATGAATACAATAATCAATAATTTATTAGTTTGCCTTAAAATTTATGTGGAAAGAAATGAGACGGAAAAAGAACAGTGCATGCAAACCTTCCAATTTCACGCCACACTTTTTATTTTTGTGAAGCAAATGACCTCTTAAACCTGAAAAGAAAGGTTTATTGTGAGTGTAAACTAAAAGACAGATTTGGGTATGTAATATAGTTTTGTTTTAGTTTTTAATTGGTATGTGGTTTGCTCATTTTTGAAGGGTGTTGGTCTGGGTATTGGTGTTACAGTCGACAGCCCTGCGCTGGCAGCACGTCTCGCAGCAGTCGAGAAAGAGAATGCTGAACTTCGTCAAGGTGAGCTCCATACTCGGAAAGACATATTCAAAAGACTAAATAGGCAGACAATGTGGAAGCTCACGTGTATGTCGCTGATGTTCTGAAAGTTGTCACGGTCAAAGAAGAATGGATCTAGTGCGTATGACGTGCTCATAAGCGTAGATCCACCTCATAATGGCCTCTAATTGAGGTCTTAAACTCTTTTAAAAAAAACCACTTAAACACACCTTTGAGCTAATCCGTGGAGAGTCTGTGCAGACTTTTTTATTTCCTTGATACAAAGGCTTCACGGTCCTGATTTCATTAAAATCGAACCAAACCTGTATTTGATTTTTTGGCAGGTTTTTAAGGGTTGTATTTCCCTGAAAAAAATACCCTGATTTTGAAGATTTTCATGAGTTTCTGGGTATTATTTTACATTGGCTTGATGTTCTAATTCTGAATTAAGGGGCACCGCTGAACTGTTGGATCTGTTGGGTTTGGAGTTGAGTTTATGGTTAATATTAACAACACCAGTTGTCATACTGATTGGTTTATTTTAGCATTTCGAAGAGCAACTATCCCTCTTGAGTTTCATGATGACACACTTTTCTCTCTTTCTTACTTGAACAGTGACGGCAGACCTGCAAGCAGCAGTCAGCAAATTAACGCAGAGAGTCAACGCTCTCGACATGAAATCCTCAGGTGCTTCTGCCCCTGTAAGTTGGATTCTTGCTAAAGATTGTTTGTTGTTTTGCCTTTTCTTGTGCTTAAATTCACTTCAGCTTCGGAAATGCAGCAGAAATTATTGATGGAAATTTATATCCAAAACCTTTAGAAACCTACTCTATACAACAACATGCAAACTTGTCAAAGTAAAAGTGAGAAGCCTGCCAAGTGTTTTAAGATAAAACAGGTAGGAATGTCCTAAGCCAAACTGAGCCAGAGTCTGTGGTTTCCTACTGTAACAGGATACAACTGTGGCACTGTTCAGTGAACTAGCTCTCATTGTCTCAGAATGGGTCGTTTATGCACTGGTGTTGATGGCTCAATGCAGCAAGGTCTCACAGACTGTTACACCTGATGTACTGTGTTGCATCTGGCAGGGTTAGAGACAACACAACAGTTTTCTCATTTCACTGTCTTATCTGGTTTCAAAATTAAAACCCTCCTGATGCAATTTTTCTTACTCTTTTTTTTTTTAGGTTCCAGCAAAGAAGGAAGAAGCACCGGCAGATGACGACGATGATGATGATGATGATGATGATGATGATGATGTGGATCTGTTTGGAGATGATAGTGTGAGTGTCAAGATATTGTGGAGGATGTAGTTTCAAGATATTGTGGAGGATGTAGTTTCAAGATATTGTGGAGGATGTAGTTTCAAGATATTGTGGAGGATGTAGTTTCAAGACATTGTAGAGGATGTAGTTCAGGTCAAAGCCTGGATCCTTCAAAGCCTGGTGTCTCATTTCCATTTTGCAACTCGTCCACCGTTTAGTTGATTAGAATTTGAGACTTTAACCAAAGTTGTTGTGTTTGATTATCCGTAGGATGACGAGGAGGAATTGGCAAAGATCCAAGCACAGAGGAAAGAACAAGAAGCGAAAGCTAAGAAAGGTGAGACAGGTGTCTGGGACAGTTGTAATCATGTCATCACAAGCCATCACAAGTGATCAGAAGACATCACAAGTGACCACAAGACATCACAAGTGATCAGAATACATCACAAGTGATCAGAGGGCATCACAAGTCAGTTACATTATATACCAATCACAAGCAATCACAAGTCATCATAACTCAATCATAGGTCATCAAAAGCCATCATAAGCAACACAAGTCCATCAGTTCCAAGTCTGGTGATTTACAGAGAATGACCCTTTGAAGTTCCTGTTTAATCCTCCCTTCCTGGCTGGCAAATCCAGCACAGCCATTCCAACAGTCAAACTCAATCAAGTGACTATTTCTAACAGTTGGGTGCTCCCTACCTACATAAAGCAGGATTGACTGGCTGTGACTGTTTATGTAATTTGATACAGCTATGCCTTAACAGCCGGTGAATGATAACCCAGCTGTATCTACAAATGACTAGCCTTTGTCTGTGAATGGAATTGACTTATCACTTGTTGGCATGTAGCCACACCCATTAGACAACCCTATGAAATTTTGTACATCAAGTTTTGTTTGTCTCAGATTTTGCGCGTCCCGCCTCCATTTGAATCATGTAATTGGACAATATTTCTCAAGCTGCGTTGATGCGATTCTACCATGATAGGTCAATTAGACTAATGTCAGTTCTTACTGAAAATATGATCTGACTGTTGGTTACTATCCTATGTATGAAGGCATGGCAAGGGAAGATGAATGATTTTTGACCGTCTGACTATACAGACAGTTGGGTCAACTTAATGCCGAGAGTTAGTTTTAAGCTTCCTTTCTGTATGTGCAGTTTTAGTCCCATTTAAGAATAGGCCTAAATAAGTATCAGACACAAACAGACCAAAGATGTGCATTTGGCAAGTGACTTAAATGTGCATGTATGAAGTGTATGGGGTGCATAATAGACTTATTCGTCTTTTGTTTTTGAATACAGGAAAGAAACAAGTCATTGCAAAGTCCAGTATAATACTTGACGTAAAACCAGTAAGTGAATACCTCTCTCTGACATTATTTATCATGTGTGATTGTTACAAGTTTAACCCTAACCCCCTAGGCCTTTTTGGCTAGGAACCATCCTCAATCCTGCAAAATTCTCCAACTGCTACCATGTCAAAATTGGATTCAGCCTCAATCCTGCAAAATCCTACATTTTTTTCTTGAATTTCTTCAGTAGAACAATGACTGTTAATATTTTGAGGCATTGTCAATGATATCCAGTAACAGTGCGGATGGTATCCAGCATAACCCTTTTTGCCAATCTTGTTACCAGCGCCTTGAGTACCTAATTGTTGGTAGATATGTGCGTTAAATAAGACTCCGGTATAATTATTATTATTGTTATAATGCAGACCTCAATCATGCATGGCTGAACATAAGCAATGCAGGGTGCAGTTTAAGACCTTGGCACAATGTATCCTCCAAAATCAACTGACCCTTTTTCAACATTCAGACCCAGTCCTCCAAAATCCTCCAAAACTACCTCCATTGATTATGGAGGATTGAGGAGGGTTAGGGTTAATGCTGATCAAAGTGATATAATCTTGTTTGAAAGTGCACAATTGCCACCTTAAGTTCCTGCATACAACTCATAATCTGTGTATTTTAATGTCATCTTGACTCCTGAAATGAAGTTAATGATTTTAATTTTTTTTTCTTTTTCAGTGGGATGATGAAACAGGTAAGCGATGATTGTCAGTTGTGACCTTTTTTTTTTAAACAAAATTAGCTTATGCTGTCTCGGAACTGTTAAAAAAAACTTGTTTTCACTTTCATTTTAGAATCTAGTTAAAGTTTGGATTTATCCGTTTTATATTCTATGGGCCTTATTCACGAGTCGGCCATATTGAATTGAAAGTGAGGTAAAATCTTAATTTTTGGAACTTGCGAAGAGAAATGAAAGCAAGTAAATTGCTAATTAATTCCAGTCTGCTTCAATGAATGATTTTAAATTTGTAATTAAAATTTCCCTAATGTTTACAAAAAAGACAGTAAAATAAGCCTGCATTGTGCCTGCATAAATAGTCTGGCGCCATCCCATTAGTTAACACTTAATGAAATATGTTCAGGGAACTCGACAAAAATGGCCAACTCGTGAATAAGGCCCATAGACATGAGTAAACATACAGGGAAAACCCTTTAGATAGCTCTTCAGCCGTGTGTAGAACCCAAGTGACTGGAGTGTTGCTACATGTTTAAAACTCTCACGATTTATGCATCATTATGTCATTTTTCCCTTGTCCTTTTTTTCCTTTGGTTTTCCTTCATCCAGATATGCTCGATGTAGAAAAATTGGTCCGAACAATCAAAGCTGACGGTCTTTTATGGGGAGCATGTAAGTTATCAACGGGCCTCTGAACTCTTACCTCCCCACTCGTCATGGCATTTATTTCTTCTAGTTCTTGTTTGTAATGATACCAACGATTCCCCTCAAATTTCCTTCATAGTTGAGATGTCTGAAGACACCCAAGTACTGTACCTGCTTGACTCCAATCTAAAACTGCCTGGGTTATGCCCAAATAAAGCAATCGCTGTTTTTTTATGAATGAATCTCATGCATATTCCAACTGCTTGGCTAATGCCCAAATAAAGCCGTCACTGTTTTTTATGAATGAATCTCACGCATATTCCAACTGCTTGGCTTATGCCCAAATAAAGCCGTCGCTGTTTTTTATGAATGAATCTCATGCATATTCATGATCTAGCTTCAACTTGGGGAATGGTTCAATGCATTATTGGTCATTCTATAAATTTAGGGTCCAAGCATGACAGTTTTCCTGTCCCTGTTACCTTGGTATTTTGTAATTTGCCATTCAAGTATCATTAAGAATGACTTCAAATTTTTTTTATTTTATTTTTTTCAAATTTTTTTTATTTGTTGGTTAAATAGCTTGGTAGTCATGATCACTCTTGAAAAACAACTGCATTAAGGAGTGCATCAGAATTATAAAATCATTGTTGTCAGATGCAACAATGACAGGAAAAAGTGGACCCCAAATTTAAAGAATGACCCAAGTCATTTCAAACTTTTTTACTTCTTCAAAGTTTTGGGATGATTATTTGTGTGTTCTGAAAAAATACATTTCCTTCCGTTTCCTTTTTAGCTAAACTGGTACCTTTGGCATACGGCATCAAGAAGCTTCAAATCGGTTGCGTTGTGGAAGACGACAAGATTGGAACAGACTTCCTTGAGGAGGAGATCACCAAGTTTGAAGACATGGTAAGTAGGAGCAAATAGAGTTTGGTTGGAGACAAGTGAACTGTGTGTAATCATTTATCATTTCTGGACCCTGAAATTGTTTGGAATGTATGCTGTGCACGATTTGACACAGACGGGCATCCCCAGTGTCTATAACCTACACGCACTAGATATCTCAAGAGAATTCCTGAGATCCGGTAACACAATGACCAACACAAAAAAGGGTGTCCTCTGTCGCAAATCTTGCTTCAAATGTAGGGGAAAGCTATAACAGTGTTATCTTTCTTCTTATCCTCGGAATAATTTAGTTCAGTACGACTCTAGAATGCAAGTCTGAAATAGATGTGTAGTCCTTTTTTAGCTTTTTCGCTTTGCAGCCTTCAGTTTGAGCCTTGCTGCAGTCAATTTCTTTGTTCAAATTTAAAGTTACTGTGTATGAACCATTGACTTTCAAGGGTGTATAAAGCCCCATATCAAGACAGAGGCGTAGCTTTACCTTCTTCAATCCTGAGAAAATCCTCTAATTCCTCTTGGTAGATTTTAGAAATCGCTGGAAGGGTTAGTTTGTCCGGCAGGTTGAAAATAAGTCAGATTTGAAACTTTGCACGGTGGTAGTATGAACTAGTGAAGGTTTCAGGTAACACCATGTGAAAAATCTCTTTTGGGAAGGTGCGTGGTTCTGAAAGAACCAGTAGTTTGTAAAACTTGATGTTCCGTTCAGTATGCTCTGATGTTCAGATCAGTATGCTCTGATGTTCAGATCAGTTTGTTCTGATGCAGCCCCATCCACTAGTCCGGCATTCTCCTGAAGACGATCCGAGCGTACTGATCGGAACGTTGAGTTTACAACCAACGGGTTCTTTTCAGAACCGCACACCTTCCAAAAGAGATTTTCACATTGTGTTACAGCAAACCTTCATTGGGTTGAAAATAAACAAAGTATCTGGTGAATCATTGCTTGGATTAATTGTGGGCAGTACTTTATTCGGATGTCATACCGTCAAAATGAGTTTATACATTTATTGTTTAAAAACTGTGATTAGTAAAAAAAAAAAAAAACATGGCGGCAAAGGGCAAAATCCAATATTAAAAGAAATAATAATAATATAAATATTCCATATAACCACTTCTGTATGGTTTTTCCTTCGTCTTGCAGGTACAGAGTGTAGACATCGCAGCCTTTAACAAGATATAAATCCAGCAAAGACCGACGGACTAATTGACGGCATTCTTGCTGATGGGTTCCAGATCTGAATTTATCATCTATCCAAACTAATTCCATTAATCTGGGGAGCATTTTGGCAGTCATAACCAAACATTGGTTGGTTGTCATTGATTTAGTTCAACATAATCAGGGCTGCACTACCCAAGTTGCTAAAACAACTGAACCTGTTGGTTACGACTGCCAAAACACGAGGCTCTGTTTAACCCTTAAAGGCATATATAAACATTTGCTCCTCATGCAGTTTGTTCATTTCCAATAATAACACCACTCAAAATCCAAAGAAGAATGTTCAAAACCTAACCTGTTGAAAGTTTCAGCTTAGTGGATATTACACTTTTTGAAAACACAGTAAAACATATTCAACAACCTTTTGATCAGGAAACATGATTTTTCTCTATAGAACTCTTTATTTCAAAAAATTAGTCTAATGACTGATCGTTGGAAATCACCTACATTTATTGGTGTCTTCTTAATGACGGCAACCAGACGGAATAATTTCACAGGGTGTTTTAGTTTAGTACCAGCATGATCTTAATCCAAATGTAAAGCCTAGTTTCCATATGTCATGCTGCTGGAACATGTGTTTTAGCTCACAAGTTTCATAAAGTAGAATTTTTTAATAACTGCAGAAATGCAGAGAGCAACTGAAACGACCCAAACTGCAACGCAGACATATGGAAATGTTTTATCCACAATTGTCACAGACAATCCAGACGGACACAGACTATCTCACAGACAACAGTTTCACGCACTGTCTGCGCAGTCTAAGCAGTCTGTGTAAGCTTAACAATGATATGGAAACTAGGCTTCAGTTTTTTTGATAATAATTTGGCAAGTTACTTTTGGGTCATTTGCAAATGATCCTATATGCCTTTAAATGAATTAAGCAAATCGGGTCATTCTGCTCTTGGTTTGTCCACGTACTTTGAAACTTCACATGAATGCAAAGCTTGACTGAATTTGACATCATGAAACATTGAGGGAAAATTGCTGCCGATGAATTATATTCGACTTTTATAAATTCAATTAAGGCCAGGCCTTTACTTATTAATGAATAGATTTTTCTGTGATTGCTTGTTTTAAAAAAATCTTTTTCGTCATTCTTTCTCTGGAAAATACTTGCTATACATTCATGTTTATAATACGCTTCTCTGCCAGTTTTGCCACTGAACTTTAAAATAAAGTAGACTCAATTCTTGTGCTAAAGCTGCCGTCTGTGAATGAAACTAATTCTGAATTTGAGATGAATAAACTATTGGAAGGAGGAAAGATGAGAGTGACAAAGTTGTTGTGTCCTTTGTCTTATTATATTATAAAATATTTAATATATGCGGCTCTAATACATCATTACATTTTCATCCAGTTTCAAGTTAACCCCCTTGCCAAAACTTTCAAAAGGCCAAAATAACTCGTTCCAAAATTACTTTTTCTGTGGATTGGAACAAGATTGGTTCCAAATGATTAGAAAATGGTAAGGCTATTTTTGATTATTTGATTTTCAGAAAAAGTCCAATTTTGCCCAATTTTGATAAAAAGTAAGGCTAACCCCTTACATTTCTGATTTTTTAGAAAAAGTCAAATTTTGCCAAATTTTCACAAAAATGCAAAGCTAACCCCTTACATTTTTTATTTTCCAGAAAAAGTCAAAATTGGGCAAAATTTGACTTTTTCTGAAAAATTACGTATGTAATACATACATAATTTTTCAGGAAAAGTCAAATTTTGCCAATTTTGATAAAAATCCAAGGCTAACCCCTTACATTTGTGAATTTCTAGAAAAAGTCTCATTTTGCCCAATTCTGACAAAACAGCAAGGCTAACCCCTTACATTTGTGATTTTACAAGAAAGTCAAATTTTGCCCAATTTTGAAAAAATGCAAGGCTAACCCCTTATAACGTGATTTTTCCAGAAAAAGTCAATTTTGCCCAATTTTGATAAAATGCAGGGCTAACCCCTTACATTTATGATTTTTCAGAAAAAGTCAAATTTTGCCAAATTTTGACAAAAATGCAAGGCTAACCCCTTACATTTGTGATTTTTCAGAAAAAGTCAAATTTTCCCAATTTTGACAAAAATGCAAGGCTAACCCCTTACATTTGTGATTTTTCAGAAAAAGTCAAATTTTGCCCAATTTTGATAAAAAGGCAAGGCTAACCCCTTATATACGTGATTTTTCTAGAAAAAGTCAAATTTTGCCCAATTTTGACAAAAATGCAAGGCTAACCCCCTACATTTGTGATTTTTCAGAAAAAGTCAAATTTTGCCCAATTTTGATAAAAAGGCAAGGCTAACCCCTTATATACGTGATTTTTCAGAAAAAGTCAAATTTTGCCCAATTTTGACAAAAATGCAAGGCTAACCCCTTACATTTGTGATTTTACAGAAAAAGTCAAATTTTGCCCAATTTTGACAAAAATGCAAGGCTAACCCCTTACATTTGTGATTTTTCAGAAAATGTCAAAATTTGCCCAATTTTGATAAAAAGGCAAGGCTAACCCCTTATATACGTGATTTTTCTAGAAAAAGTCAAATTTGCCCAATTTTGACAAAAATGCAAGGCTAACCCCTTACATTTATGATTTTACAGAAAAAGTCAAATTTTGCCCAATTTTGATAAAAAGGCAAGGCTAACCCCTTATATACGTGATTTTTCAGAAAAAGTCAAATTTTCCCAATTTTGACAAAAATGCAAGGCTAACCCCTTGCATTCGTGTTTTTCTAGAAAAAGTCAAATTTTGCCCAATTGTGACAAAAATGCAAGGCTAACCCCTAACATTTGTGATTTTTCAGAAAAAGTCAAATGTTGCCCAATTTTGATAAAAAGGCAAGGCTAACCCCTTATATACGTGATTTTTCTAGAAAAAGTCAAATTTTGCCCAATTTTGACAAAAATGCAAGGCTAACCCCTTACATTTATGATTTTACAGAAAAAGTCAAATTTTGCCCAATTTTGATAAAAAGGCAAGGCTAACCCCTTATATACGTGATTTTTCAGAAAAAGTCAAATTTTTCCCAATTTTCATAAAAAGGCAAGGCTAACCCCTTACATTTGTGATTTTTCAGAAAAAGTCAAATTTTGCCCAATTTTGACAAAAATGCAAGGCTAACCCCCTACATTTGTGATTTTTCAGAAAAAGTCAAATTTTGCCCAATTTTGATAAAAAGGCAAGGCTAACCCCTTATATACGTGATTTTTCAGAAAAAGTCAAATTTTGCCCAATTTTGACAAAAATGCAAGGCTAACCCCTTACATTTGTGATTTTACAGAAAAAGTCAAATTTTGCCCAATTTTGACAAAAATGCAAGGCTAACCCCTTACATTTGTGATTTTTCAGAAAATGTCAAAATTTGCCCAATTTTGATAAAAAGGCAAGGCTAACCCCTTATATACGTGATTTTTCTAGAAAAAGTCAAATTTGCCCAATTTTGACAAAAATGCAAGGCTAACCCCTTACATTTATGATTTTACAGAAAAAGTCAAATTTTGCCCAATTTTGATAAAAAGGCAAGGCTAACCCCTTATATACGTGATTTTTCAGAAAAAGTCAAATTTTCCCAATTTTGACAAAAATGCAAGGCTAACCCCTTGCATTCGTGTTTTTCTAGAAAAAGTCAAATTTTGCCCAATTGTGACAAAAATGCAAGGCTAACCCCTAACATTTGTGATTTTTCAGAAAAAGTCAAATGTTGCCCAATTTTGATAAAAAGGCAAGGCTAACCCCTTATATACGTGATTTTTCTAGAAAAAGTCAAATTTTGCCCAATTTTGACAAAAATGCAAGGCTAACCCCTTACATTTATGATTTTACAGAAAAAGTCAAATTTTGCCCAATTTTGATAAAAAGGCAAGGCTAACCCCTTATATACGTGATTTTTCAGAAAAAGTCAAATTTTTCCCAATTTTCATAAAAAGGCAAGGCTAACCCCTTACATTTGTGATTTTTCAGAAAAAGTCAAAATTTGCCCAATTTTAATAAAAAGGCAAGGCTAACCCCTTATATACGTGATTTTTCTAGAAAAAGTCAAATTTTGCCCAATTTTGACAAAAATGCAAGGCAAACCCCTTACATTTATGATTTTACAGAAAAAGTCAAATTTTGCCCAATTTTGATAAAAAGGCAAGGCTAACCCCTTATATACGTGATTTTTCAGAAAAAGTCAAATTTTCCCAATTTTGACAAAAATGCATTCGTGTTTTTCTAGAAAAAGTCAAATTTTGCCCAATTTTGACAAAAATGCAAGGCTAACCCCTTACATTTGTGATTTTACAGAAAAAGTCAAAATTTGCCCAATTTTGATAAAAAGGCAAGGCTAACCCCTTATATACGTGATTTTTCTAGAAAAAGTCAAATTTTGCCCAATTTTGACAAAAATGCAAGGCTAACCCCTTACATTTATGATTTTACAGAAAAAGTCAAATTTTGCCCAATTTTGATAAAAAGGCAAGGCTAACCCCTTATATACGTGATTTTTTCAGAAAAAGTCAAATTTTCCCAATTTTGACAAAAATGCAAGGCTAACCCCTTGCATTCGTGTTTTTCTAAAAAAGTCAAATTTTGCCCAATTTTGACAAAAATGCAAGGCTAACCCCTTACATTTGTGATTTTTCAGAAAAAGTCAAATTTTCCCAATTTTGACAAAAATGCAAGGCTAACCCTTTCATTCGTGTTTTTCTAGAAAAAGTCAAATTTTGCCCAATTTTGACAAAAATGCAAGGCTAACCCCTTACATTTGTGATTTTTCAGAAAAAGTCAAATTTTGCCCAATTTTGACAAAAAGGCAAGGCTAACCCCTTATATACGTGATTTTTTCAGAAAAAGTCAAATTTTCCCAATTTTGACAAAAATGCAAGGCTAACCCCTTGCATTCGTGTTTTTCTAGAAAAAGTCAAATTTTGCCCAATTTTGACAAAAATGCAAGGCTAACCCCTTACATAAGTGATTTTTCAGAAAAAGTCAAATTTTGCCCAATTTTGATAAAAAGGCAAGGCTAACCCCTTATATACGTGATTTTCCTTTAAAAAAAATGAAATATTGCCCAACCCAATTTTGATAAAAATGCACGGGCTTACCCCTTACATTTGTGAATTTCTAGAAAAAGTCAAATTCTGCCCAATTGTGACAAAAATGCAAGGCTAACCCCTTACATACGTGATTTTTTTCAGAAAAAGTCAAATTTTGCCAAATTGTAATAAAAATGCAAGGCTAACCCCTTTTGTGAATTTCAAGAAAAAGTCAAAATTTGCCCAATTTTGACAAAAATGCAAGGCTAACCCCTTGCATTTGTGAATTTCTAGAAAAAGTCCAATTTTGCACAATTTATGTAAAAATGCAAGGCTAACCCCTTGCATTTGTGACTATCTAGAAAAATCAAATGTTGCCCAATTTTGATAAAAATGCAAGGCTTACTACCCTTTACGTTTTTTTTCCCAGAAAAAAATGGTTTGCATAAAATATGAAAAAACCCTGTTGTCAAACTCCCCTATTAATTGGCTTATGGTCCCAATCACAACCAAATAAAGACAATATTAAATGCCAACATGGAATCAATTATGTGTTTTTACTATGTTTCACTCGATTAATTTCAATGTACAATATTTTGAGGTTAGTATCGGTATAAACAAGCACACGTAATTACAACATTCCTGACTATTATAGATACTTTCTTGATATAGGCACTTACACGCGTTAACATAGCAAAATTGCATACAAGTATTGTGTTTTTTTTTAATAAAACTCTGGTCCAATTTGACATTATGGGTATAATTATATTTCGCTCAGTATATCATTTTGTGTACTTGGAAGTGGCTGTCCAGCTCTTTAAATCAAAGTGGACCCAGATCATCACAAAATACAGAAACTATTGCAGTGCTGATTTGAAGCAACAAGTTAAGCACGATTTTGCTATGAGCCAGCGAGAAGCAAAACAGATTGATACATTTTAGTTGGTTACTTTTTTTGCCTTAAAGCTTTGAAGCATGCACATTTTTTGCTGGATAATTCTTGGTGTTAGTAGCATTATGAATGAATATAGTTGTTATTGTCACATTAAATACATGAATAGTTTGAAATGACTTCATAAGTTTTTGTATGAAAACCTAGAAATGTTCTGGACAAAATTATTTGCAACTATACTGAAGCAGTTTATATTCAGTTGAGTACAAACTTCAATAACAATTTTTTGGTGTTGTGTTTTAAATATATAATATTGTTAATTGGACCATACTTTATTTTACTTAAATTTATTGTGTACATACTAGAGGCAAACATAAGCTGGTAACTGTTCAACTTTATCCAAAACAGCCTCATTTCCAACGAACAGAATATTAAATTACAACGAAACTAATAACACTCTTAGCATTAAATGTGCAAATAGTGACTTAAATTTTAGAGTACAAAATTCTTTGTCTTCGTATGGCTCTGTAGAAATGCTTTTGATCCACAAACATACAACACTATTATAAAGATGACAAAATATTTGACATATCAGAATAGATATCATTTGGAGTACCGTTATAACAAAATATTTGACATGTCAGAATAGATATCATTTTGGAGTACTGTTACAACAAAATATTTGACATACAATAGATATTATTTTGAAATACCGTTATTACGCACATTAATAAACTACAAAACAGAAAAAATATCGCTAAGTATGGATATTGATATTTTCATACGAAGAGCTTGCTTCTGAAACAAATACAAAAGTTTATATCACAAAATTAAATCCTATTAATCTTCAATCTTTTCAGAAACACAAGAAAAGTGTGAGCGTGTACAACACTACACAGTAGGTCCAAACTAAATTTACAGAACAAAATCAAGGTAACAAAATTATACAGGCTTTGAAACTTTTTTTTGTAGGAGTACATTCACTTGTTTCAGAAAAACAATCTTCACTCCTGTATGTATCATCTCATTCTGTGACTTATACACACGTTCTGCCCAGCAGAGAAGCCAACAAATAGACAGATTTTTCTTCTGAAATACTGCAGACATCTTCGATTCCACTGAAACAGCTCATAACCAAATATACTGATTATCATAAATAGCCAATCTAGGTCCATCTAAGTACTTTGGGATATAACAAATACATTAATTTGTTTGTTTTCAAAATGACAGGTACAAAGTTAGTACAGATAACAAAAGTAATGGCTGTTGTTATGGTAACGGTATTTATAAAAATAGAGCAAAAAGGTAACAGAGTACAAAATGAATTGATCAATTTTACAATAACATGTTGTCAAGTAGGGAAACTTTGATGTTATCGTCAACTGAACTAAAGAAATCTTTGCTCAATTTCATGGACTTGATAAGCAGAATCTATTGCTTCGCAATTCTAAGTGATTAACCCACATTTATATATATATATATATTGATTTACAGAATAATCCACAGAATACTAAGGTGGTTACTTGGTAGGCATCATCAGAATTATAATGGCTATGGCTACCGGGTAGCATTAATGCATGCGTCTGAGGAAGCGGCTGCAGCCGTATCGCATAGACACGTGTGTTGCCGCTAGCCACAGCCATGTAATTCAAACACGGCCATGTTTTCCGTCCCAAGCATGATGTCATTTGAATATATTCAACGCTTCTTTGACACGTGACACGTTCTGTCAAAAGGAATGAATTCTTTTGTGCCTCGTTTTATTCAATTTATCTCTGATTCCTACTCATATATTCAGTTGCATAGTGAGTGATATTGAATATTTCAGAATACATCACAAGGCTGATAAGAAAATATGAAACTTAAAGGAGAAAAACAAAGTGATACATGAATATTTCATTTCTTGTTATTGTTACTTTAAATAGGCAAATATATACAGACATAGAGCTTGCAAAACTAATACAAAGGCTTACTATAATAAACAGTGCTGTTGCTTTCAAAGTATTATAATACTTGTATGCATGAAATATAGTTCTGCTTTATTTCGCTAGCTTTTTTGAATGGCATTTCATAAGAAAATCAAAAGTGAATTAAGGGTGGAGAGAAAGTAACAGTATCAATTTGAAATAATTTCATTCGTGCCAATAAGCGATGATGTTCAAGATTTCACAAAAAGAGACACATGAAGCCAAACTCAGAGGGCCGAGCCACAGCCTGAACTGAACCCTGGACTTCAGAACTGTGCCTACACCCAAACAACCAGGGCCTAGTCAGAAACTGAAGCTGAACCCTGGATTTGAGTAACAGCTTAGGTCCGCTCCACTGCTAAACTCAAGCAAGCAGCCACTTTCCTTTAATAAGGAATACATTTACCATTTACTCTGATATGAAATATATAACTAATTATTGATTTTAACAGCACCGCACACATTAGTATTGTCACCTGAACTCCATTCAGCTTACTGTTAGCAAAACAAATCACTGTTCCCAGGAACAGGATTTCACAATTCTTTGAACTTTAAGACATATTTATTTTGTTGTCCTCGCTTGAATGAACTTCCCTGCCCAGCAGAGAATGAACACAATCACAAGCTAGGAAGTCTGTGTTTGGCAGAGCAAAGACATTGGGATCTGTTCATTATCAAGTGAAGATAAGAGATGCAAAGATTACAAACAGGGATGCAGTGGAGTCCATCGCAAGTCCAGTCACAAGTCCATCACAAGAAACAGTGGATGAACAATAACAAAGGATTGCCTTCGTCAAGCTCCTTGAATAGCTTGTGAGTTGAACTGGGACTGGAGGACTTGTGCTGACTTGTGATGGATTGTGATGGATTTACAGGGACTAACGATGGACTTATGATGGACTTGCAGGGACTTGTGATGGATTTACAGGGACTAATGATGGACTTGTGATGGACTTGTGATGGACTTGTGATGGATTTACAGGGACTTGTGATGGATTTACAGGGACTTGTGATGGACTTGCAGGGACTTGTGATGGACTTGTGATGGACGTGTGATGGTCTGGACTACATCCCTGATGATGAGCATCTTTAGTGTGGTAGGAGTTACTTGAACATGTCCTCCCATTGCTGCGCCATGATGAGGCTTCGTCTCTGCGGTCGGTACTTGGGCATCGGTGTCTGAAACAAAAAATGGTGGATGGATAAATTCACATTCAGTACATCTGCAAGAGCAGTGATGGACCTCACATGATATCAACTCTAAAGCCCGGTTCATACTCGGCGCGAAAGCGAAAGCGAATTTCTGACGTCATGGCATGTATTCGCGCTGCGAATTCGTAAAAGTTGAACATATTTCAAAAAGTTGAACATATTTCATGCATTCGCATGAAGTATGAACCGGGCTTTAGAGTACGGCAAGTTGATATATCAGCTCAGAATGATAAATTTCAGCTCAGACATCACTGCAAATTGTTTACCATTCTGTAATCAAGAGTTCATACCCCTGAATGCTGGGGTTATAGATCATACATGTAGCTCTTGCTCAGTACTAAAACATCCGTGTTCAAATGAATTTTGAAAACACTCTTGAGCCTTATGTTGAACTTACCAATTTGTTTGTGTAAATACACCCTATGAAACATCTTGCAGACAATTGTGTCGTTACCTCTAAAACTAGGTTCGAATCTGACCCAAACCAACAATAGTAATGGGTTTTCAGTTCCTGCCTGATTCAATGCGTTTTCCTTGGCCTAATATTCCAGAGTTACATGTATCTCCCTATCCATAAAACTGAGTATTTCTTTATCATTTTGTCTCTTAAGGCTTTTTCAGGCTTAATAGCTAAATAATGAAAGGTTTGCGGAAACACCATGTGCGAATAATTTCTAAACTAAGAGAATGGTTCTGAAAAGAACCAGAGGTATAAACTCTCCTGAAGACGGTCAGGGCATACTGACCGGAACGTTGAGTTTATACCTCTGGTTCTTTTCAGAACCATTCTCTTAGTTGAGAAATTATTCGCACATGGTGTTTCCGCAAACCTTTCATTATTTAGTATCTCCACCATGCAAAGCCTCAAATCTTACTTAGGCTTAATAGCTACAGTGCCTGCTTTCTTTCGAGAAACCCCTGGCTAAGAGTGAATGCAAATGTGCACACACACAAAATGAAAAAGTACCTCAGAGCTTGCAGATGACGTTGCGGCCTGTTCTGTGGCAGTGGCATCCTTGGCCTCTCCATCTGGCACCCCGTCTGCTCCCTGTTCTGTCAGCCTTGGTGAGGTGGGTGTTGCCAGACCCTTCTCCCGCCGGTATTGGTCCTCTCTTTCTTGCTGGAGACGTATCTCCTGCTCAATGAGCGTCTCAGTGTTGGACTTTACCGGACTCAGAGTTGCTTCTGTATGAAAAAAAGAGAGAAAATATCCATCAAAGAGGCCAAGCAGAATGTATGGCTTAGTATCTTTTTGTGATAAGCATTATGGCAGAGAACCAGTCACCTACAATGTACATCACCTGACATTTTGGCTGGTAACCTGTCTGTTCACCCAATAATTTCTGTACTTAACATTTGATGTATCAAAGAGACAACAGACTTCAATGGAGCTGTTGAGCTGAATGTACAAGGCAGCATTTTTTTGTGCTAAGAATAATGGTGACAACCAGTACAAAGCAGAATCCAGGCACTCCACACGTTATTTTGGCTCAGTTGGACCCCAAATGACAATTTCACTGAGCTGCTAGGATAACGACATTTCTTGAGCAATGAAAAATTCTGCTCATCAAAAACTGGGCCAAATTTCATGGCCCTGCTAACCACAGAATTCCGCGCTTACGATCACCATTCTGTGCTAACCGTGCTAGCAGAAAACTTCTGTCGTAACCCTGTAAGCACAGAATCCTTAGTTATGGGATGTATGCATGCGCAGAAGCTAAACTTTGTCCCTAATCCGTAAAATACAAAGACAAGATAAGTTTGCGGTAGCATCATGTGAATAAATCTCTTTTGTGAGTATGTGTGGTTCTGAAAAGAACCAGAGGGACTTTTTTAGAACCACACATACTCACAAAAGAGATTTATTCACATGGTGCTACCGCAAACTTATCTTGTCTCAGTATCTTTCCGCCATGCAAACCTTCAAATCTCAACCGTGAAATACACTTATCGTAAGCACAGAATGTTTTGCTACGGTAAGCAGGTTTTTTTCGCTACCAGTAAGCATAGCAATGAAATTGGCTCCATGTCACTAGCCAAAATCTAACAGGATGTACCGGTACATTGCTTCTCAGCTCTTATTTGGTTTATCTGATATATGCAAAGTGTCGGCTTAGCAGATTTTTTTGGTCATAAAACCACAAATTCTTTATTCCCTGATGCCGGGAATTTTCATATACACATTCCCTTTGCGACAGCAAAACTAGACAAATTAAGAAGATGAGCGGATGCAGGGATTAAGACATTCAATGGTGTCTGTCTCCCAGCCCACAGTGGTGTGGACAAGGTGGTACTCTGTCTCTGAGGATCTAGATCTCCAATAAGCTCATGCACTAGGACAATCACATTAAGTTGGAGCAATATATCCTACAAAGAATCTTTAAAAGGGCAGTATAAGTGCAAGAGAGGAGACCATCTAAATTATAAATGAATGAAATTTGCTTTTGATGAGCTCAACGTGCAGAAGGCATTTGAAGTGCTTGAACCAAAATGTGAATGACACATGTACATGAATGAAAGGATAGCAAGTGACAAAGTCACATCAGCAATTCATGCGATGAAAAAAAATCAGCAAGTTCTCAACCATATACATACTGTAAAGATGCAGGTCACTTGACCTGTGATGTTTGATAGACATTGGAATGGAATTCATTAATTTACAGTGGGTGTCGAGGAATAAGTATAATGTTTACTGTTATTGAACACAATGGACTTGTTTCCAGACCAGGATGGAGCTTGCACTAGTGACACATGATCACGTTCGACCAATGAAATTTACGGTATCCAAAACACGAGCAACAGTGTAAGGTGTGCAATACTGATTGCTACGCATGAAACTTTAGCCAACGTGAGAGCAATTGCAATGGAAGGATGAACAACGAGGGGACATATGCCATGAAGTACCGTCAACCAAATTTATCTTCAAGTAAACTTGAATCCTCCATCCTGATTGGTCGATCCATGGCAACAACAGTGTGATATAAGGGCTGTATTGCACGGTCCATATCGCACCCTGCGTATTGCGCTATTCCAAGATGCGAGCGACATTCCAGCTGCATGCGCTAAACCGCATAAAGGTTCGTGTAAAGCGATGGTCCAACTTTACTGCGCGTCAAGTTTTCTTGAAGATAAATTCGTTATCGCGCTCGCGCTCGTGGAACACAGAATAATGTAGTGCGTCTGTGTCCCACATACTGTACCACTCGGCCGAATGTGGGACACAGATGCAGTACATTGTTCCGTGTTCCACTCGCGCTTGGGGGATAACTAATAATACCACCATTTGGCCAACCTCTATACAGCCAATTACATGCAATGGCAGAACAGTTGGCGCCAAGCATCATGCATTGCCTACTAACAGACTTCACTGCTCTACAGCACGCAATTGAAAAACAGCTCTACAGTTTATTCTCACTGCTACAAGCTCACTCTATGCATGATTATGATCTGATGGCTCAGCGACACATGCAATGCCCATGCTGCATCTAACCTGTATCATTCGACGTTTCGTCTTCATACTGCGACACCGTTTTGATTTTCCCTTCCACCTTAAGCGCCAGTTCGCGACGCCTTTCCTCCTCAAACTCTTTTTCTATGTAATAGTTGACGGTTTTGAGGTTGTAGGTGGAGTCGGGGAAGTTTTGAGAGGTGGGCCGGGGATTGTGGGCATTTGGTGGTTTAGTACGGCCAGCTTGGCTGGTGGGTGTGTTAGTGGATCGTTTGAGAGATAAACCTGTATGGTGGCAAAAGCACATTCAAAGCTGAATTACAATTGTACATCCCAAGCAACAAGACTTTAAATCGTCAAAACTTATCATCAACGGTTCTTTCAAAGACAGCATACCGGTATCTCCAGAAATGATAGACTGATTTTATCACATGCGATAAGGTGAGAATGCAGAATTAAACAGGCAATAAATCAAAGTTTATGCTGAGGTTTCAGGAGGTTTTACAGGGTACCTCAGGGTTCAACCTCAAGTTGGCGCTTACTTAATTTTGCATTCTCCCCTTATCCATAAACCCCATTCTTGTTTCTATTTAACCAAGCATCACATTCAAAATTTGCTCACTTCCCTCCCTATCCATAAATTTCTAAGTTCTGACCAGGCTTACCAAAAACTAGAAAAACTCATAATAAATCTCTTGGAATGGTTATCTACTCTACCTCTTTCCTTTCGGAGCGTCATTTCTCTCTCCTCTGCCAATCGGATGTCCCTCTCCATCGGTGTTTCCCTCCTTCTTCTAAGAACGACAACCTCCTGCTCTGGTGATGACACGGAACTTGACCTCTCAGAAACCTGTATCTTCTCAGTGACCTGTGAGCTCTCGGTGACTAGTGAGCTCTCAGTGACGTGTGACTTCTCCTTCTGAGTCTTCTCAACAATGACCACATCAGGAATGTCCGCATCAAAGGCTTTCTTGAGATCCGTGCTTGGTTTGGTGGCAGCACGCTCTTTCTGGAGTTCTGCCTCCCGTTCCTTGGCAAGACGTATTTCCCTCTGGACCAGGGTCTCAGGCTTGCTTGGGGACGAGTCTGTTGCATCTTGCGAACTTGGCTCCTCTACTGGGGATGCTGCACGGTAAGGCGACGGGGAAGGGGGTCTTTGCAAAAACGGTGAGGGTGGTCTAACCACGACTGGTGAAGGGGGTCTTTGCTGCGTTGACTGTGAGTCGGAAAAACAAGTGAATGCATGAACAACAAAACAGGTTTTAAATAGGATAACCCTTATACTGATGTGTTGGACAGGACTATTGTTCAAATTCTGACACAAATTCTGATTTTCTCCCATTGCAGTAATTGTTTGTTTACTCCTAAGTCTGTATGTTTGCTTTTACTGCGGTGCAACAATTGTTTTATACCAATTTTAAAAATATAAATGACCCTATGCTCTGATAAAACTAAGAGTTGTCATAAAGATTCCTTTGTATAAGTCTGAAATAGCTCAGTTAGCAGATGCTTGAATGTAAGCAAGAAGATCAGTGACAGTGCATTTTAGCAATCAATTGCTTTTTACATAATTTGACAACAAAACAGAATATTGTATCATAAACCTACCTCTTTTGCAGCACTCTCCTTAAAGACAACAGTCACAGGTGGTTGTTTTACTGTAACACTGCCCTCTGTGGCCTTCATTGGTCCAGGTTTATCATCGCTCTTCTCGCTAGTTTTTCTTCCCCGTAGCATTTTCTGGTACTCCCGGTAGCTGTTGTAGGGTTCAGCCTGCATGGAGCTGAGGCCAAACCTAACCACAGGGGACTTGTCTGGCAGTTTTGAGGTCATGGGTGCATTATTGGCTTTCTTTGGAGTTGCAGGTGTTAAGGCAGGTTTGATTGGGACAGTCTTAGGTCCAGCAGGCGTGGATGCTGCTTTGATTGATGTAAATGATGAGCTCTGTAAAGTGGGACTTTGAAGGCCTTTTATGGGTGTTGAGCGACCAGATGAACTATGAGAACTACCCTCCCCACTTGCATGGCGGGCTCTGGTCTCTTCCAATGCTCTCTGACGCTCCAGCGCATTCTCCCCTTCTCGCTCTTTCTGCAATCGGATCTCGCGCTGGATGATGGACTCCTTCCGCCTCGGCTCTTCCTTGCTTATAGGAGTGTCTGTCTTGCTCTCATCTTTGTCAATGATGACAACTGTGGGCTCTGGGCTCGGACCTCTTTGTTGAGTCTCTTCTACCTTCTGTGTAACTTCAGGCTCAACCAGCTTCATGTCTTGTAATTCTGCCTGTCTTGGAGAGACTCTACCAGATTGGTTGCGAGGACTCTTGATGCTGGACCCTCTGCTTTCAGCTATTTTCGGTGTTCGTGGAAGCTCTTCAACATTACCCTCAGCATGATTCTTGCTCAGTCTATTTTCTTGCTCAAAGAATGATTCTTGTTTGATGAGCTGCACTTGTGAGTCTTCCTTTTCAACATCTTCCATGTCTGAGCTACTTTTCAGGCGTCCCTCTTTTAGCAGTTCTTGTTCTCGTTCCTTTTGCTGCCTGATCTCCCGTGTGATGATACTCTCTGAGGTACGGTGGCTCTGTATGGCAACTTTGCGCTGTGGAGTGACATCATAGGTGAAGGACTCACAGTGATCATATTCATCATCCAGATCTTTTGGCATGATATCAGTTGAATCATCGTCCAAAGGAGTCTCTATCCTCACTTCCTCTTTGGGTTTTGTTTCCTTAGCAGTTGGTTCCTCCCTGGGTGCATCTTCGTCTTTCATCTCAAGAGAAAACATCCTTCTGGGATCGAAAACATCCTTCTTCTCTCGGCGATTCTCTAGTTCCATCGAAGGCGCCACGTTAATTTTTTGCTCCCAGAGATTACGCACCTTCTTTAAATCAATGTGAGCTTCATCGTTGCCCTCTTGACTTCCAGCAGGCCCTGCCTTTGATGCATCTGATGATTCTGATGAGGCTCCAGTTATTTTTGACTGGATTTCTTGAGTTGAAGGCACACTCTGAAGTGATGTGTTTATCTTTTTTGGAGCAACTTCACTGTCGCTCTTTTTATCTTCTGAAGTTATCGGGGATCTCTCTAAATCGACCTTAACTGGAGAAGCACTCTTGGCATGAATATTTGGAGGTTTCTCTTGTAAAGTTTGTGTCTTTACTTCAGGGACAATGGCATCTTGTTTTGCTACATTCAAGGGTTTCTCAACTGTCTGTGGTGTTGGCTTGCAAGGTTCTGGTATTAGTTTCGGGGCTGAATTACTGACATTTCCCCAAGAGGTTGAGCCTGGGGAAACTGGACTTCGTACAGGTGGTTCCTGCTTGATGTCGCTGCTCTTTCCAGTTGGTGACAAGGGTCCCTCACTCTCTGGTGAGGTCAGATCATCTGACTGGATGCTGCTTCCTTGCCAGCTGATTTTCTTTTTCCTCTTGACCTTCATGGCTGCCATAACATTTCTCCTCTCCTGCTCATACTCAAACAACGTCTTGCCGTCCTCGTCAACCTGCTCAGAAGACTTGCTCCCTGGTTTGGGTCCGTACAGGGCTCGGATGAACTGTGTTGACTTGTTGGCAACGCTAGGATCTTTTGACCTGGGAGATGTGACGGCTTCTTCTGATGGCTGATCAGCTGCTATTGTAAAGGTGCTGATTGGTGGCTCACTAGCACTCCGGGATTTGGTATCTGCAGATATGGTCTGATCTCCACCAAGTCCAAGCAAAGCATGTGACGACAGGAAACTGTCAGTGGCTGCTCTAGGCTTTGTTTCATATAAGCTTCCCGGCCTTTGGTAGGCTGTCTGCACTTTGGGAAGAACCCGCACTGATGGTAGAGCCAAGGAGATACTCATCGAAGATATTGGTGCAGATGGAGAGGGCTGTTTGGGAATTGTCGGCTGGAAGGAAGAATCTCCGGCATTGGAGTCTCCTCCGAAAAAGCTTCGCCGTTTGGCATTCAAATCAAGTTTGGTGTCTGTTTGACTGACCGCAGGCTCTGCCTCCGTATTCTTGGCATCACTTTTAACGACCTCACCTTCAGTTTTTGAAAGGGCATTAGTTGGATCACCTATATCTTGGACAGTGTCTGGTGGGGAAGAGAGAGTGCCATTCGTGTTACTTGAATGCTTGGGGGCACTCTCCTGCATAGTAATACTGCCTTCTCTAACCATCTGATCCCAGGCCTTGTTCGTACCGTGAGCTGATTTTTCTTCTGGCTTGGTAAGCTTTTCTGGCTTCTCCAGGTTATGAACATCCTCCTGTTCTGAAGCTTTCAAGGTGTCTAGATCTCTGACTCCATCTGCTGCCAAGGAATCATTTGCTTCATCTATCACTGTACCATCTCCTAGCTCATTCAGAAATCTGTCTATGTCGCTAGGAGTTTGCCCCTTCTCAACTCTCTTATCCTCATCATCAATGACTGTACCATCTCCCAAGTCATTCAGGAACCTATCCATGTCGCTTGGTGTCCGTGCCCTGTTGTTGCTCTCTATGTTTTGTACCACTCCAGCATCTCCCAAGTAATTTGGAAGACTATCCCCGTCAGCTGGAGCCAGTTCCTGGCTAGGCTCTGTGATCTCCTTGTCTACCACTCCAGCATCTCCCAAGTCACTTGGAAGACTATCCCCATTAGCTGGAGCCTGTTCCTTGCTAGGCTCTGTGATCTCCTTGTCTACCACGCGAGCATTTCCCAAGTCACTTGGAAGACTATTCCCATTAGCTGGAGCCTGTTCCTGGCTAGGCTCTGTGATCTCCTTGTCTACCACTCGAGCATCTCCCAAGTCACTTGGAAGACTATCCCCATCATCTGGAGCCTGTTCTTGGCTGGTCTCTTCAATCTCATCGATAGCTGTGCCATCTCCTAATTGGTTCAGAAATCTATCCACATCGCTTGAAGTTCTTTCCTTGCAGGTGTCTTTGTCTTCATCAATCACTGTACCATCTCCTAGGTCGTTTAGGAGCTTGTCCAGATCACTGGCAGTTCGTCCTTGATCGGTTTCCTTATCAGGATTCCCCTGATCCCCATTCTCTTGAGGATTCCCAATGGATATCAACAAGTCTCCATTACTTAGCTCTGAGTTCAGAGAAACCATGTTGCTGTTACCCTCTGCATTATCCAACAATGGGTCAAAGTTGTTGTCAAACTCAGGCGGAGGGGCGACAACAATTTTTCCATCTAGACCATCAGTATCTCCAAAGTCAACAAGAAGATCCTGTGGTCCTCCGTTGGTTGCCATGTTGGCGTTAAGGTCAGCAGTGGCAGTTTTGGTCGAGGTGTGCTGACCGTTCAGAGTGTCCGGTTGGCATTCAGTGTTTGGGATGGGTTGGTCTGAGAGGAGATCCATGCTGGTTGCTGGGTCTTGTGTGTCCTGATTGGCTGATCTGTGGCTTAGGTCAACGGTGAATGCCTGCAAGAATAACGAAAAATAAAAAAAGCAGCTTTTAGAATAATGCATGCTTAACTACAAAAATTAAGTTTGTCCCAATTTGACACAAAAACTATTTGCAATGTTAAACTATGAAAAAAGCCTGGTCCAAAGGTCATAAAAGCAGAATGTTTTGACAAACTGGTCGGACTATGAATTGTCTGAAGAATGCTGCAAAGTGAATCGATCCCTGTGAAATCCAGCCAAGTCTAACCTATGTGCCTGTACAGAAATGTTTAGGTACACTATAGGCCTACCGGTACGTGTAGTACATGTATTTATGATACACTCATGGTTGGTCAGCAGTCAATCTGAATGTTGGTTTTGGCGTCAAAATAGGACAAACAAAATTTGCATCGCATTTACCAGTACCGGCAACCTGTAAACATGTCTGTCAATGAACAAAAGAACATCAGCCTAAATGCTCTCATTCACAAAATTGGGCCCATGGTAAACCTTTCCAAAAACGTCTGTTAGCAGCGATCAATCTCTTTTTTATTGTGATGGTCAATGAATATTTTGTAGTGATTCAGTCACGGTGCTTATGAAACCCTGGGTGATTCTGCCCAGGAATCGCTGACGCATGAACTGCTTTGATGAATGCTTGATCCCAGGACCATGTCAATTGTCCACAGGAATGCTGTCCTTGGGTCAAATTGTTTGAGTGTGAAAAAGTACCGGGCAGTGATTTTGGTTTTCAAATTAAAGCAAACAGATTTTATAAATAAAACCAATTTTGTGACATGTACATTGTACATTTCATAATGATGGATTTAAAGTCTGATTGGGAAACTTCTTTTAAAATTCAATAATGAGCATCCGCAGTCTCATGACTGAATCAGGCAAAAGAACTGAATTCGTAGGGAAGGCAAAACATTCACATGTAAACACGTTTTTGCGATGTACATGTACGGTACCTTTCTACCTTGAGTCAGTTTGAAGAAAGTTTTTATAAGAATGAAATTCAATCAATCCTAAGCCTGCTGAATGCAACAACATCACGGGCGCAGATTGATTGATTTTGTTAGATTCAGTTGGTTTTCCACTTTACTTTTGCTGGATTCTGTTGGACTCAATGAACACCTAGAATCCAGCAACAATACGATTACATTGTAGAAGAAAATTACTGACGGAGGCAGTACAACTGCATAGGTCACATGTGTAAATTCAATGCTCCTTCGATTTTATGTATCGATTTTTAGAATCAATATTTGAGTAATTTTTGCACTTTTCTATTTAATGTATATTTTCTTCTCAGGGATTTTTTTAATGTGAACGTGTAAAAAGACCAATGGAATTTCCCCTTTGTTAGAATAATAAAGTTTGTAATTTTGTGTTGTGTGTTCACAACGTGCACGCAAAAAATTAAAATCTCACTTGAAGAATGCATGTCATGCATGTGAGTGTGATGCATGTTCACTTATGTACCTATATGTATACTGACTGAATAATCTTCTGTTAAGTAAAAAAAAATAAACTTGAAAATCAAGGTTTAATTCAATAAATAAAACACTAACAACTATTTAACGAAAGTGCAAGAATCAAAGAGAACTGTTCTTAAGACAGGAGACTGTGTTTAATTCCCTAATTTTACAAACAGACTTACAATTCTGCCCACAGACTGGGAAGTCAAGAGTTTAGACACAAGGGAATCTGCCACAGCACTAAAGACGGGCTTTAGTAGATCCGGATCCGTCATCAACAGGGTCGTCAGACTGTCTTTAAGATCAGAAGAAAGATTCCCAGCAACTGGGGCTGTTTTGGCATCAGTCTGGTCATTGGCTATGCTACTAAGATCCTCAGGTCCCTCAGAGTTTACCGTAGTCACAGGACTTGGCTCTGGTTCAGTACTGGCTCCCTGACTTGAATTGACATCACATAACGATTCACTGTTGTCGTCCATTTTGAATTATGCTCATTTTCCACCACAAAGGCAAAAGATGACAATTTTCAAGTTGGTCACCAAGTCTGCAAGACTAATTTTTGTCAACACTTCTTGCCAACATCTCTGGTGCAGTTGTAAATGTAGTTCCACTAGTCTGCCTCATCAAGTCATGCCAACACAAAACAAAACTTGGGAGATGCTCCACATTCTTGGGATGAAATTAATTTACATGTTTACTTTCTCAAACCATTATTATAGACTCCTTCAAACCACACCCAAGACAACTAATGATAAGGCAGTTACTGAGCGCACTGTTGGACCAATATGGACCCAGGTTTTGTTATCATTCTGGGGTATATCTAGCTTGACACAAATGATGTTTTGAAATCTTTGCATACCATCACCACCCCCTAGTTGCATCAACACAATAGCCTGGAGCTACAGGGGTTCCTCTGATGATTGCATCGTCTGAATCCAGCACCCAGACAAAAGAAAAAGGATCCCTCATGAATGCTCAATGATACACATCTACATGGACATTCTCGTTCTGCCAAGCTTAAACCATGGGCCAAGACACTTTTTTTGATGAGGCTTTATTTATGATTCGAGTTTCTTATGTGACTTCGTCCAGGAAAACAAAAATTGGAAAACCAAGAGAATATCCTCTTGCAAAACTAAGAGAAAAACAAGTTGCAGATCAGAGAAGAAAGACCAAATTTAAGAACCCAGAAGAAAAAAGAACAAATAAGAATCCAAAGACACATCTACTGGTAACTGTGTTGCAAAAATATCTAAGAAAAATGGGATATCCAACCCCCCCCCCAAAAAAAAAACCCAACAACAACAACAACAACAACAACAACAACAACAAAATGAAGTCATACAACTGTATCTCAGAAGTGAGATTTGAAAAGTTTCTGCACTTACTCGTTCGCTCCAGTTTTAGATTTCAAATTTCAATGTGTTGTAAACACTCCGACCTCTACATGCAATTTAAAAAGGTCCTATCTTTGTGAGATCTCGTTAACAAATTCCATCTATTGTTGTGTCGCTGGCCTCCCCTTTTGTGAATAATAACCTTAGAGATCTGGAGGAAGGCCTGAACAGGTAAACACCAGTGGGTTTAAAAGCTTTGACAAAATGGGAACAAATCTTGCATGAAAGGCTGATCCAGGATAGGTGGGGGTATTTTAACGCTTTGCTTGATTGTCCAGACTGCTCCAGGTTATCAATAGTAGGAACATCCGTCCCCTTGGGACGAATTGTGGGCAAAAGATGAGTCAGTATTTGGGCCAAGTCTTTGCAGTCCAACAAGCGGTCTACCTTTCTTGAGCTGTTATAGTCTATAACTAAAGTAATTCGAGGAAAAGTTCTGTCTGAATAACAGGAAATGTATGCTAATTTTAAGATCATTTCATGGCCCCAATGTGCCGATGTTGACAGGAAAGTGGACATTTTGCTTAAGTACTGAAGTTAATTAATTATGATTCTTGTTGGGCAAGTCCAAGAAAAGGTCCATTTTGTCCCATATGTAATATTATGCTTTCTTTAATAATCATCGCAAAGACGGCAACACCACAAATCTGGGTCTTTATTTGCTGTTCTTATTGTAAAAATCCACGTTTCCCACACAAATGAGATGATCATTTTGCAGACAGTTGTAAATTTCAATGTACCCAGGGTAATACAAGAAGCCTCTCATAAAGAATAATCCAATATCTGCCCTGTATCACAATGATTAATTCAATGGCCAATTACCACGGCAACAGGTTGGCCCAAGGTCACATGGGCCTGTTGGTTGTCAGGTCAACCAATGATCTTTCATTGACATGTACCGTTTTGTACCATCAATTGTGTGGATTTAATGTGGCAGTCTGATGGCATGTGAGAGTCACATAGAGTACGATGTGTATAAATCTGTGAAAAATACCCATGAATGTTCTGGTAGATACCGGTATTAGAGATGCATGTGGTGTTGGCTTTTTTGACACTTAAATCCAGAAAAGACATTTTTATCAAGAGTTTCTTGGATGGCACTATGGCAGTGTATGGAATCAACAATGCTCCTCTAATTTATTCCAATTGCAGTGCAATAATATGGTCATTTCTAATGCTGTGGATTTACATTCATAAATCATTCATCACATGGTATAAGCTCATTCCATAAATCTGGGGTCCAAAAGTGACTTGCTTGTGTCTCTGTCTTCTGCCTGATCTTTGCCATAGGTATCATCAAAATTAACGTCAAACCATTTTAACTTTGGTACAATGTACATGTACTTACCTTTACATACACGTAATCACTCTTGAAGAGAGAAGGCATTGAATAATGTGTCCTGAATTTACAAAATCTTCCAGTGCATGCACATCAGATGTTAAAGGGACACACACAAAAATGGATCCTACATGTATGGAATGACCCTGTACCCCATGCATCTTTTTGAAATGAGTGCAAGCTCTCAGTTAAAAGTTTGGATGCTGACAAGTCATGGGAAAAGACCCCCCCCCCCCCCAAATCCATCCATAAAACCTATCATGAGGTTTGGGAGGATTTTGTAGGATTGAAGATGTACCTGAGAGCCCATCCCCTGTGGGGCTTGATGCTCCTCTAAATGTCAAGTACAAGAATGTGCTAATTGAATTCCAGAACGGCAAAGTCTTTCACAGGATTCGTTTCATTCCATCCATTCATTCATTCTTTTAATTTGTTTATTTGGAGAGTTCTCTGCAAATGTATGTATTCCTCTTGATGAGGTTGTTACACGTACATGTATGTAAGGTTAAATGTAACTGAATGTCAAGAAGTGGGAATACCTGGCTTACGTATCATTCAGTAGGCCTAACTATCTTTAAAATGAACTTAAGTAAGGGTGAAATCTCATCTTCAGCAGCAAGGTAAAATATTTAGATTCCAGATTTTTTTTTTTTTATACCAGCGCTTCTTTTGAACATGATCACTGAACAAATACAGGATGCACAGTGGCATAGTTGGTGGACATGATGTTTGCTTCAAGTGCAAATAAGCTCAGCTTTGACGAGCGTGTTACACCAATGCAGACAGGCGGGCAGCAAAGGACTTGTTTAAATATTGGCCAGA